TTTCTCTCCCCAAGTCATATGGTTCAATTATGACTACTAACAGCAATTTAAATAGCATTTTAACAAAATAGCCTAGGCTTTTGGGCACTTCTGAAGTAAATCTCCCTGATTAACAGCTGTCAACTATCAGTGAGCTATAGGTAATTAAATTTGAAGATGCTTTATGGCTTGGAAAACTAGATAAAAATCCCTGGACCAGAAAGGTCTTAAGTTGATGTAGCTATTGCTCCCTGCGGTATTTGAATTAATGCGATAGATTGACGATTTTCTGTTCTTTCTTTTTTTTTGAGATGGAGTCTGTCTCTGTCACCCCAGGCTGGAGTGCAGTGGTGCAATCTCGGCTCGCTGTAACCTCCGCCTCCCAGGTTCAAGCGATTCTCCTGCTTCAGAAGGAGAATTGAGGCTGTCCTGCCTCAGCCTCCTGAGTAGCTGGGATTACAGGCGCCTGCCACCACACCCAGCTAATTTTTGTATTTTCAATAGAGACGGAGTTTCACCATATTGGTCAGGCTGATCTCGATCTCCTGACCTCGTGATCGGCCCGCCTCTGCCTCCCAAAGTGCTGGGATTACAGGCGTGAGCCACCATGCCTGGCCTAGATTGCCGATTTTCTAATGAAACAGGTAAAGAGGAGAACTGCAATTGTTTGCTTGTTACTTGCAAATAAAATTTAGTTGAGCCTATTTTTCCAGCTGAGATCATACTCTTGGTTTTATTTCAGTACAGATTAGAAAAAGAAGGGAAAAAGAAAAAATAATGTGTTGGAAAAAACATCAAAACTAAACTTTCCTCATGAGAGAAAGTGTGAGAAAGTGGTAGTAGGCATTGTGGACCCTCAAAAGATATATCAGTTAGTATTTCTCTCTACAACAGAAAAAGAAAACTTCAATTCAAGGTGCCTAAAAACTGCAAGGATTTATTTTTATTTCATATAACAGAATATTCCATTAATAATGGAATTCCTGTTAATTCAGTGACTCAATAATTTCTTAAAAGATCCAGATTTTTTTTTCTACATTTCTGCTTGCCATTCTCAGCAAGCAACTTTCTTGGTAGATGCAATTGCTGCAAGCATCATATACTCACATACCAATGTCCAGAGGCAGAAAAAGAAATCACCTCTTCTTTTCTGTGTGCCAGTTTTTAAGACTCAATAAGCCTTTTTTCAGTAGCCATGCAGAAGCCCTCCCTCCAGAGTTCACTGGCTAAAGTTGTTCACATGGCTGTATTTAAAACACTCGCTGGCTAGAAGAATGGGGCCAGTATGGTTGTCATTGAACAGCCCTGTCAAGGTGGGAGAAAAGAATAGTATCTATTAGATAGATAATCAACAGTGTCTCTGGATGAAAGGAGCATGTATTGATCCTCTACTATGGGCTGGTGGAACATACTTTGAACTTGGTATTATTATTGCCAATGTATCGATGAGAAAATTAAAACAGAAATGAGCTAGTTTTCCCAAAATAATAGACTTAGTGAGTGATGAAACTGAAATTCAACTCAGAAATGTGACACCAATTGAGTACTCTCTTCCCAATGTCAAACTGATTCCTGTACATCATGAATCACCTTCCAGCTCCGTTTTTGTATCTAACAACCAACTCATCTCTATGCTTTGGTTTGCTTTTTAGATACACTGTTCCCCAGAGAGTGTATCTACTCTCAGAATTCCATATAATCATCCATGAAAATAAGTGAACATCTCTACCTGAAGATTTGCTCTTTGGAATGGCAAAATTAAATTCCTTATCTAATTCTACATTCTTGTGGAAAATTTCTGCTTTGATTTGAATGTAATTTAACCTATCCATACCTAAGTACTTTCTCTATCAAATGTATCTCCTTTTCAGATCTCCCAAAAGTTGTAAGCGCATATTCATTTCTCCTATACTTAGCTTTCAATGTTAAGGGGAATTTACCCCAATCTTCCCTCTACCCCTAGCCAAAACCTATATAAAATCATTCCAAGTTCTTTGTTTTAGGTGTTTCTCACATCAGTTTTTCTTTTCCATTTTAGCATATCAGGTGTTCATCAATATAATATCTCAACTACTAGAATAGTGTCTTTTAGTCTTTTCACCTTATATACTTAAAAAATTACTCTGCATACTCAAATTATTTTCCTTAAAGAATGCCTTATTTTATTATTGTGTTCTCCTGATTAATTTGAGTAGATTCCACTTGTAAAAAAATAAATATTGAATATATTAATATTAACTCTAAGGCAGGCATTCTAGTCATTTTTTTCTTCCCTGCATAAGAAATTGCTCTGACTTTGCTTGCTGAAGATTGATGTCTTGCCCCAAATTATAATAATAGGTAACCCACGTAACCAGCATCACTATAGCTCAGGGACTCTTCTTAAAACTTTATGTATATTAAACTTGACAACAGTTTAAACTTCGCAACAACCCCATAATGTAGATAATATTATCATCCTGATTTTACAGATGAGGACACTGGAGTTCAGAGAGATAAAGGCACTTGCCAAGTACATCTAGAAATGAAATGGTAGAGCCAGAACCCAGACTCCAGTGGTTGAGCCCCAGAGGCCATGAACTCAGTTATATTTTACTATGTTAGTCTGTGTATGTCACTCCACAATTATTTATTAAGAGCTACTTGTTGAATGTGTATTCCAGCAGCCCAAGCAATATCTTACCCCTGGTGTTTTACAGAAGACTTACACAACCATGAATCATAGCCCTGAGATGAAAGCAAGCTTTACAAAACACCTGGATTTTAGACAGAATCAAGGCAGTCTGTGCCCTCTCCAACCTTAGAGTGATACTTGCTTTGATTGTGTAGTCTCTTCCATGTTCTCAGCTCGTGGATTTTTTTTCTATTAGCCCTAACCTCTAGTCTGGTATGGGCTGATTTTTTCCTGAAGGATTTCCCTCTCCCCTTACCTGCTCTCCTCAGAAGGAAGCTGTTTCAGTTTCTGGGCTGTGGCACCACCGGCCAACCGTGTCACCTCTCTGTCCGTGATTCCTAGGGAGGCTCAGTAACTGGAAAGTCAGCAGGCTACACCATGCTCAGCACCCAAGCCCCCTGTTTCCACAGATCTTTCATCCAGGCCCTTGTTGTTAATCACCTGCCTTTTGTCCTTGTATACTGTCATGATCTTACATTTTAAGATTCTTCTCAAATATTTTTCTAACCTCTTGATTGTTTTTTCCAACATTAAAAAAAATCCTGTATTTTACTATTGTTGTATGAACAGTAAATTTGAGGCTATAAGATTATGTCTTAATAATTTTACGGATTTAGCTCCCAAAATTTTAAAAAAGTAAGAAAACATATTTTATCTAAATTCATATTTTTCTTAAAAATCATGATCCAAACTTAATAACAATAATTATAATTTATTGAATACTATCTCTTGTCACTCATTTCACATATTTATATGTGTCAATTAAATTGATTTCCATGGAAACTCTTGGCAGAAGGTACTATGATTGCTTTTATAAATGAGGAAATTAAAGCACAGAGAGGTTAAGTAACTTGTTCAGTATCACAGGAAGTTTGGCAACAGAACCTGGTTTCATTATCACTCTTATTCTTCCAGGAATTTTCAGATTATTGGCTAAAACTACTTGCAGGATATTATGGCAGACATTCTGAACAAATGTGCCCAGAAAATAGGTTAAATTTGTGACTTCTGTATCTTCTCATATGGGCTATGGCCCAAGTACTCATGGAATATAGTCCATGAGTTTCTATAAGAATTTGTGTCATTTTAATTTCGGTTTAAGTCAAACTGCAGCTCTATCAAAATTTTTAGAAATGTGTTTGTAATTCAACGCCTAAAAATCTAGAAACAGTTCATCATGGAAGCAGTAGTCTCAAAAAGCAGTCTCTTTCTTAGAGTTTGTCATTCTTCAGATTATAATCAAAAGAAAAAAGAAATCCTGAACCATTTGAATAGAAAGGTCTAAAGTTCTACTCCTTCAGAGGAGCATTTTGACTGAAGAATGTATCATGAATGTCACGATACATTCATTACCTTCAAAGGCACTTAGGCAATGTGAAAGAAGCTAAATGAGTGAGTGAGTCACTAACCATTGAGGATACTGAAAATATGAACATTTAGATACCTGAAAATTCATATATTTTTGTTAGATATATGCATAGTTATTCTGCTAAAAATAACATTGCCTCTTGAAAGTACATCTACTTTCAAGTAATTTATAGAAAAAAAAAGTTGGACTAATTAGAATTATGTTGGGATGTAAGGCAAATATTTGTAGTAGGAAATAGCAATCCTAAAATGATGAATAAATAGAGTCCAAGAATAAAACATTAATAGAGCATAAGAAGACAATCACACTGCTATTGGTTTTGTTTTCTATTCAATCTGCTCACTGTATTTTTTTTTTTTGGTTGTTTAACTTAACTTGTTTTAAGTTGATGATGTCCAGTAATAAAACAGAGTTGAGATTATTGCAAACATGACGGATTTTGTAATCACATATTATTACCATAAACTTTAACATTGCACTTACCGATTTATGTTTTACTTCAGCATAAATATAATGAATTAAAATGTCCATTAGCATAACTTTTTTTGGGAGGGGGGCAGGGTCTCTTGCTCTCTTGCCAGAGCTGATGTGCAGCAGCACGATCATAGCTCACTGCAACCTCGAATTCCTGCGCTAAAGAGATCCTCCCACCTCAGTCTCCAAAGTATCTGGGACTACAGGCACACACCACCATGCCCAGTTAATTTTTCAAAAAAAAATTTGTAGAGACAAGGTCTCACTATGTTGCTTAGGCTGGCCTTGAACCCCTGGCTTCAGGTGACCATTGTACCTTTGCCTCCCAAAGTGCTGAGATTACAGGAAACTAGCCCGTAACTCTATTTTAAAATTAATTTCTTACTGTAGAAGGAAATGTACCTTGACTTTTTCTGGTAAATATTTGCATAATGGTTTTTATTAAAATAATAGAATTATAGAACCAGGATGCTCCATCTATACTTGTGCTGTTCACTCTTTCAGAACTTCGAGAAACCAAGACCTCTGAATACTTCAGCCTTTCCCACCACCCTTTAGACTACAGGATTTTATTAATGGATGAAGATCAGGACCGGATATATGTGGGAAGCAAAGATCATATTCTTTCCCTGAATATTAACAATATAAGTCAAGAACCGTTGAGTGTAAGTTTATCCTTTTCACAAGGCCAGTGTCCACCTTTTGAGTGTCCCTTTTTTAAAAAGCATTAAGTAAAAAATAATATGCATTTTATTAGAGCAATAGAAAATACTGGTCCCATGTTACTATGAAAGTTAGTATTTTTTCATGGACTGAAAAGATACTAAGTTCAGTTCTCCTCGTCTAGTTCCATAGTTTTTAACAATTCAAAACCCGGAGCTAACTGAGAAAATACCACCTGTGTGTAAATATATAAAGAAAGAAAAAAGGGAGTGTAGAGTAGTGCATGAAAGAAATGGTCAGAGAAAAGGAAGATCTACTTTGTCATCTCCATGTAACCCATGAAGGACCTGAAAGGAAAACAGCTATTAAATACGCTGTTACTTGATCCAGTGTGGCCTATATTTATCATTCTATTTCACAAGGAAATAAAATTGAGGTTCACTGGAGTAAAGAAATACAAGTAGATTAATTATAAATTTATTACAACAAGGAGACTTCCGCATTTGCGGAAGTGTTAACATAGGCAGTGGACTGACAACTAAATTAATGATTATTGCCAGACTGGACCCAAGGCTGCAACTACTTAGAATACTAGCACAGTATTTCAGAGAGAGAGAGAGAATCTCTTGGATTTCATCCAAGTTATTTTAGCTATTGAAGTACCTAGGGGCCCATCTTATGTAAATCTAGCCTGGCTGTGTGATTTACCAAAAATAATATTAACTGAGAAAGAGATGTAAATGTAAATTTACTGTCATATAAGCAGTTAGGAAAAGTGTAGTACGTCAGAAGGAGTGAAAAATTGTATCGTTCACATTTATGTTAATAATTGTTTTAATATACAATCAGTAAATGAACATACGTTATTGAAAAGCATGTGAAAGGAAACACTGATGGAAGAAATAAAAAGTAATTGTAATTGTTAAACTAATAGAATATTAATGAATTCATAAAAAGAGAGAATTTTAAAGTTTTAGTATAGGATCACCTTAAATAAATCTGTTAACAAAAAGTAAATGAAGAGTACTGGGCTGTCATACGTCCAGGTGAGATTATGCAACCTTTATTTTTCTTTCTGAGCAGGTTTTCTGGCCAGCATCTACAATCAAAGTTGAAGAATGCAAAATGGCTGGCAAAGATCCCACAGTAAGTGTTTAAAAAAAAAAAAAAACCACTAACTTAAATATTTGGTTTTCGAATCCATGTACTTTGAGGGAAGCCAAAACTGAGACAAAGGATGGTGGTGTTTTAAATTTTTGGCTGGACACAGGCTAAACACCTAAACATTGAGGAGACTGGAACTCTCGGGCTCTCTGTCACTTCAGAATTCCTAACTGGGCAAAAATTGCTTGCCTTGCTGTCATTATTTCATTCAGATACATCTCATGATGGATTTCAGTAATAACCTCTGTTCCTAATGGATCCAACCTGCAGAATTCTCAGCAGGCTCCTGAAACGATGATAATGCAAGTGTCTGGAGCAGCTCCCAGATACCCTGTGGGCTTTTCCAAACACAGATTCTCGGCAAAAGGGCAGTGGTTAGCCAGCAAATTCCATAAATATAAATCACCGGTGATAAATGGTACCTCTGTTAATTAAAAATAGCCACAGAAACAGCAATAGAGACAGATATAAGTATCAATAAATATTCAGTATGCAACGCTTGTGCAAATTGTATTCCTCTAGGTGAGATTCAAAATAAAGAATCAAGGAAGAAATCTATATTAATTTCTACAAATGACTGCTGAAAGTAGTACATTGTTATTCTTGAATCTTCTAAAACAATACGTGGAGCAGATCTTTAATGTGTACACGTCATACAATGTTTATAAGGGAGCGTATATGTCATCTCACCATTTTGCCTCAAATAATGAAAATGTAATAGAACCAAGCATCAAAATCACCCTCTCTTTCAAAAACAGTTTGGTCAAGAGATTTCTTTCTTCATTCATTCCTTCCATTATTTGCTCAATAAATACTGATTCAGCACCTGTTATATATCTAGCACGGAGCTAGTTGCTAAAGACATAGTTGGTGCAAAGACAGAAATAGTTCTAACTCCAGTCAACTTTATTATCTTGTTAGAAAAGTCAGCCATAATCAAATGAGCATGGAAATACAAACTAATTTAGAAATAAGCTAGAAATATGGTAATCGGGTGGACAGACTAGTCAGTATATACACATACATTCAGGTCTCAGGTCATAACAAGTAATAGACCACCTTAGGGTTAAAAAAATGTTGACTAATCATTTATTTTGTGGTAGGTCAAGAGATACTGATTTCAGGAGTGAAGACTGTGCCCTGAGTCTTGGAAGTAGAGATGGATCAGACAAGACTAAACATGGGAAAAATACTAATCCTGTGGAAAGTGGAAATATGGGATTGAGGAAATGAAACGTTTATTTTCATTGACTCCTAACAGCCCCAGGTGTAAAGTTGCAAAAATTTTTGGCTGAAGGCAGGGCCATGGAAGACTCTGGAGGGTAGGATATCTGGCCTTAACTAAAGGGTTCTTGGAGTGATTTATCCAATAAGAAAGATTTAAAAGTGAGCAGGAGAAATTTGCAGGGGCATATCTGCTATCCAAGGGACCTGTTAGACCACAATCTTGGGGGGAAAATCCAGAAAAATGTAGAAAAAACACTTACATACATTACAACGATGTTCCAGGAAACCAATGGTAGAATGAAGCATAATGTTGCAGAGAATGATGTTTTGTCCCCTGAGACTATTATTTTAATAATTGTGAATGAATTAAACTATTTCTTTTCTCTCTAATGGGATTTTTTCCCATTGATGTGTGTCTGATCATGCCTTGCCTTTTGCCACAATAATATCCCGTGGCTATAGTTCCTGAATTTCATTGTCCTTTGTTCAAAATGATTTGCAATTCCCATTCATATGAACTGCCACAGGCAGAATGTGCAGAATTTAGGTACCTTTGTACCTTCTGTTTCCAAAAATTGCTGTTGAGTTTCTGAAGATTCTTAGACAAGTCATTTGGTTTCTGCTTCCTTTGTCAAAATAGAAACCCTGAGGTTTTTGTTTTGCTTTTTGACAATTAAAAGTTATTAGATAAAAATCTTCAATACATGCTGACATTTTCCCATAGTTTTGTCATGCTGTAATTTGTTGATATTTTTAATTTCTACTATAAGGCCAGTTGTTTTACACAAGGGAAATATCTAATGCAGTGCTCTTTCCTAGAGTTTTTAGGGCTCGGCCGGACAGGTTTTGTTTGTCCATACAACATTGTTGAGTCCTGGGAAACACTAATCAAAAAAATACATGGTTGGTCTATGCAAGAAAATAATGTCTGACAAATCCGTCTCATTTCATACGTGTGAAGTACTTACAGAAGTGTCCTTTACTTAGACTCTGGGGAAAAAAAGGCCTGTGGTAGAAAAATAATGTGAAATAGATCTTTGGAAGTTCTATAGAACAACCTATCCTCCTTTCATTTCTCAATGAAACCACATACTTAAGAACTTTTTAAAACTTGGAATAAATATTATCTAATAACCTAATACTTTTAAAACACAGGAATCAATTATTTTAATTTACACAAATTATTTAGTTGTTGTGAAGAAGCTGGAGGTGAGTTAGATGGAGTCCTTAACATTTAAGTCTTCATAATGTACTGGAGATGATGAGACATATATACATTAATGTTCAGAAAAAATACTCAATATTTAATGGAACAGGCCAGGTCCTGTTGTAAGTGCTTTATTTTAATCCTCATAACAATGCTGCAAGGTGGGCATTATTGTCACCACCTGTATTTTTAAGATAAAATACCTACATTACTAAGAAAGCGAGACACTTAAGCTGTGCTGCTGTGAAGTGCGACGGTCTTTGTCTAAGTCACACGCAACTCTGGATTCTGTACTCTTAGCCACTAATACATGCTACCCTACCGGAGAGAAAATGATAAATGCTAAGGGATACACACAAAGCACATCTGGGATATTTCGGAAAGGTTTGATAGATTTTGTGGTAATCATATTAGAACTTGTTAACCTTTTATTTCAATGGTATTGAAATTCGAACAAGTTGTACCCTCTCTCTCTTCCAGTGTTTGGTATGTGCTACGTGCTGTTGATTCTCTTGTCCTTCAATAATCTTCCCGTGTTTTCAGCCTGGGAAACATCTACTCACCCCTTCAGGTCACAGTGCATACAAGCATGGGAAATCATTGCAACTGATTGTCAGGGCTTGAGGGTAGGACACAGTAGATGCTGAGTTTATTAATGCTTTTAGATTAATTATGTTTGTAGCACATTTATTATGCATATATTTTAGAGGTATATTTTCATTAAGCTAAAACTTTCTGCTTTTAGCTCTGTTAATCATCTAAGCAGAACATAAAGTGGTAGCAATTAATATCCATACTGCTATAACAACTGAAAGCAAAAATAAAACAAGAGTTAAGCATCCCTTAATCCTTCAGATTTTTTGGTTGTATCAAATTTTAATTGACATTATAACAAGATAACAATTATAAGAAGAAAATTTAATGTGATTTAACATTTGATCTTAGGTAATAATATAGCATAAATCTGTAATAAACTAACGTTTTTAAAGAAAATAAATTTTCATGGTGGGAATATAGCTAATTTTCTGCCTCAGCTAAAAAGAATATAACCTACTTCCCATTTCTCTTCCTGCCACTACATACTCACATTCCTATATGCTCCATTTATTTCTAAATGCTAATATTTTATTCATACTCTAAATAAATTGAGGTTAAACAATAGCACATGCTGTCAAACATATCCATGAGATAGGGCTTAATGAATGTACTATGTAAATACTATAGGAGACAGTTGAAAAATTAAGTAGGATTATGTATATTTAGATATATATACATTACATGCACATGGTGTCAAACTTGATTTATTAGTTGTAGAATATCAGTTTCCCTATTTCTGTGACCATACAATCCTAAGCTCCTAAAAAATACATTTTCTTTATCAAAATACCTTGATTAATTTCCCTAGACCAAGAAGGTACAGACCAAGAAGAAGAAAGTATGAAGTATATTTATGTCATTGCAGATTATAGGCCATGATGAGTCAATATTTTTAAAGGCCTGTTCACCTGTGCTCCGGGATATATTTTTAAAACATATATTTTTATATTATAAAAGTAATATATTTTCAATATAACAATCTTTGAAGACCTAGAAAAGTACATAGAAAGCAACAGAAAATAAACCATCTCTTATTAGCTCTTCGACCTTGGAGACTTAAACTTTCTGTGCATCTTGGTTTTCTTATCTGTGAAATGTGCTAATCTGTAGCACTTAACCTTATTGGGTTGTTAAGAGGATTGATGAGTTAATATTTGCAGAGAGCTTAGAGCAGTGCATAGTACGTAGTTAATGCTGTATCACTGTTAAAGAAAGTAAATTGCACTACTGAAACATAATCACTCTTAACAATTCAGGGTATATTCTTCCAGGATTTTGTTATGTAGACATAAATGTTTATAAAAAATAGAATTTTATTATATGCTGTATAATGTTAGCAGCCTTATATTTCATTAACATTGTGCCAGGAAATCATTTCAAAAGAGAATTAAACAACGAAAAGAGAGCATCCATGATATTTATTTCCACTGAAGTCTCTAAGGCTTCATTCATACTCTAAACTTTTTGTGGATTTTTACTGTGGTCAGGACCTGCACTAAGCTTTATGCAGGACAGATGCCCTGACCATTTCACCGGGTTTATAGACAATATCAATTTTAAAATGCAAATAAAACAAATCTAATATTGGACAGTTGGATGTGTTTATTATGTTCCAGATACTATTTCTACTGCTTTATTAATATATTGTCCACAACAAGTATTACCATTGCCATTTTAGAAATGCAAAGATTGAAGCATCCAGAGGCCAAGTAACTGTCTTCAGTTCTGAAAGCTAGTAAAAGATGAAACCAAAGTTTAAACCGAGGTCATCTGGCTCTGAGACCTGCATACTTAAATCTACTCGGTCTTCTCTGCAGTACTCTCTATTGCCTATCTGAAGACTGTGGCAGGATGGCAGACCAACTGTAATTATACCTCTCTTGATTTCATCACACAGTTATCCTGTAACCCTTCTAGGCACTAGTCTGCAAGTCAATCTTGCACTCTCATGTCTCTGTTTTCTGTTCATGCTATTTTTTTGTTGAAATGTTCTTTCCTTATTATGCTTTTGCCTGTGAAAATCTCTAAATTATTCTGCAAGACTCAGCTCAAGTGTCACCTCTACTCAAATCTTTACCCCAGATCAGCATTATTTAATGTCTTTCTTTCCTTCTACAATACATTTTTAAAAATACAGTCCTATTGCAGTATATACCACAGTCTGGTACATTATGCTCTCCTTTCTCTAAAAGCATGTGTTGGTTGAGTCTATTCATTCCAGTGTTGCTAGTACCATATACAGTGCCTTGCATAGAATGACTTCAGCACATATTTGCAGGATGGAATTGACACTATTGCAGCAGTCTAGGTCAGAAATGAAGGCAGCACAATGGAAATGGAAAGGACCGAGATAATCATTTTCAATAATTAACTCATCTGAATTGTTTTTCCTTTTGTAGTCTTGTGTGTGGGGAGGGGTAGGGAGCACACTGAGCAACAGATAGTGTGGGAATCTGTTCATTGCTAATCAGATTCCTATAGAAAAGCTGCACAGTGGAGAGTGGCTGTGGTTCAAGTCCCAGTTTAGTTACTTATTAAAACTAGAACTCTTTATTTAACCTCTCTGGGACTCAATTTCCTCATCACTAAAATGGAGTATTAATAAATTGGTGCATTGTTATGAGAATTAAACAATCTACATGAAAGGATTAAGAGCTCTGTGAATATTAATAAATGTTATAAAAACTAAAAAGTTATATCAGTATTAACTTACAAAAACAACTGTGCATCCTGGCTAACGTGATGAAACCCCGTCTCTACTAAAAACACAAAAAAATTAGCCGGGTGTGGTGGCACATGCCTGTAGTCCCAGCTCCTCAGGATGTACAGGAGAATCGCTTGAACTCAGGAAGCGGAGGTTGCAGTGAGCCGAGATTGTGCCACTGCACTCCAGCCTGGGCGGCAGAGACATTCAGTCCCCCACCCCCACCCCCGCAGGAAACAACTGTGGACTTCTCATCCAATGACAAATTATAAAGCAGCTAAAAGTACAGGATTCAGTGTTAGAGATGTATGTGTTTGTAAATCTGCTTTAGTTACTACCTGTATGATCTCAGACAGGTTATTTTTTAAAAAAGCTCTACAGTTTATTTTTCCAAAAGGAACTGAGTTACGGTAAAAACCTGAATGAATATGGTAAAAACCTTACAGTGCCTAAGTAGCATACAGTAAGTTTTAAATAAATGTCTGCTCTAAAGGTAAAAATCAAACTTTCTGAAGGTAAAAATAAAAGGTAAAACATACAATATGATTATTTCATAGTCTAGGATATAATAAACTCTAAATAAGTATTAGTCATAATAAGCAGGTAGATACATGAAATAAGTATAGTGCATTTGAAATATAAAAGAGATGTTATTGACTTCTTTCATTTTACCAATACCAGTAATTCGTGAAAGTACATTGACATCCATAAGACCCAAGATGAGAGAGACATAACCTGTTATTAAAGGAATTGGATTGAATTATTTATATCTTATGGGGAAATATTGAAATATTGTATACAGAATCCCAGAATGACTAAACTTGAATGTGAAAAAATATGCATGTGTCTCATTCCTCATAGATTCCCTTTACATAGATACATTATAAACACACCATATTTCATCTGTGCTTTTTCTTCGGAAACATGTTATCTGTAGTTACGTAATCAATTTCCAGATACCTCTATAAACAGGTGTCAAGAAATGACACTGTGTATTTAACAAAAGTCCTTAATGACTTAAAGTATATGGTCTAGTCTGTAAGGATTAATTTCTTTGACTACAGAATTAATGATTGATTATTTAATAATAAAAATGTATCATAGAAACACCTGTATAAAATTACTGCATAAGAAAAGAAGTGTATATTTGCTGGCAAGTAATAATGAACATAAAAGGAAAAATGATGGAAAATGTAAAATAATATTGATTTTAATTTTAACTTCTATTTTAGCAACGTTTATTTTGTTTTAGTTTTTCAATAATTTAAATAATAGATAACGCTTTATTAAAAAATAGGAGAGGCTGGGCGTGGTGGCTCACACCTGTAATCCCAGCACTTTGGGAGGCAAGGCGAGTGGATCATGAGGTCAGAAGATCAAGACCATCCTGGCTAACATGGTGAAACCCCATCTCTACTAAAAACACACACACACAAAAATTAGCCGGGCATGGTAGCACATGCCCGTAATCCTAGCTACTCAGGAGGCTGAGGCAGGAGAATCACTTGAACCCGGGAGGCGGAGGTTGCAGTGAGCTGAGATCACGCCACTGCCCTCCAGCCTGAGCAAAAAAAAAAAAAAAAAAAGGAGCATACATGGTACCTAGCAGGGGGAAAAGTGAAATATATTTTCTGACCACCCAGGCCACCCAGGGAAAAGTTACTGTTAACTTCTGATACGTTTCTTTATAGTTTTTAATAAAAATACTGTCTCTAATATACAATCATTTTATTATGTTCTTTGAGAGAAAAATGACTTCGTGAAGTCATTCAGTCTCAGGCTTGATTGAATTATAGTCAGAAAAGGATAGTGAAGCTAGTAACTGGAACATTCAGTGGTTAATTTAGTCACAGAGATGTGTATCTAGTGCTGACTATGTTTCTGTGCTCCTGCAAGGTCATAGTCAATTGAGAACTGCAATAATTATTTTATTTCATTGGGTGAATAAATGACAGCCTTGCTTTTACTTGAACTGGGAGCAAGTAAGAAAGGAGTTTCTATGAGAGAAGAAGGGAATATTTTAGGGGATCCAGGGCAAAGAGAATGATTATGTCATTCCTCATAGAAGGCAGTCATTATGCTGGCATTTTGTTGGAGATTAGTTTTATTTAGTTTTATTTGCCAGTTCTTAAGGTGAATAGTGTTTGCCATTGTGTACTAATGGTAATATGGAACTTGTATAGGCACAGGTGCATTCAGAACACGTTTATATAATGTGTGTGTGTTTAATGTTTTAAGGAAAACTTGAGAAAAAATAACTTCTATGTGTTAATTTGTAAACTTTCTCAGGTAAATAATATGTTTATAAAGTTTCAGGACGTAAAAATTTAGACAGTGTTGTAATATGAGAATAATGAAATAGAGCATTTTACTTACTATCTGCTGTGCACTATATTTCTCTTGAAATAAATCAGTGGAATAAATCATGCTGTTGTTTTAATATTTCTGGAAATACATCTTTTAACAATAAAAAAAATGGAGCAGAAAGGAAAATGTATAGCAAAGTATTGCCAAACAATATTTGCATTGACATGTATAAATTTGAGAGCATTTTCAAATGAAGTATTAGAATTAGTCCAGATTAAAACAGAAATAGAGAAAGCAGGGCACGTATGACAACTTTGTTCAGTTGCATTCTACAAGCGAAGAGATTTTTGTGTTTTTCTCAGTAAGGATGCCCAGAGAATTTGACTATACCCTGTCAAATAGTAGGTAATCAGTAAATATTTGTTGAGTGACGTTCCTGTAATAATGTTTTGACTATTCCTGAACCACTGTTTTCCTTCAGTTGCACCAAATCTTAGTATTTGATTTGGTACTTCTACAAGTTAGATAAGTATTCTCAAATTACCTTGAAGAGGTGCAAATATATTAATAGTTCCCCAAAGATATAGCCTAATACAAACTTGTCCAACCTGTGACCTACGGCCCTCATGTAACCCAGCACAGCTTTGAATGTGGCCCAACACAAATTCGTAAACTTTCTTAAAACATGAGGTTTTTTTTTTTTTGCGATTTTTTTTTTTTTTTTAAGCTCGTCAGCTGTTGCTAGGGTTAGTGTATTTTATGCGTGGCCCAAGACAATTCTTCTTCCAGTGTGGCCTAGGGAAGCCAAAAGATTGGACACTCCTGGACTAATAACATCAAAAGTTTATGTCACCTCATTGTCACCTATCATACATGATCTCAGGTTAACATAGCTAACTAAAATAACAGTGAAAGTCATTGAAGTACTAACTGCTTATTTACTGATTCTTTTAGCACGGCTGTGGGAACTTTGTCCGTGTAATTCAGACTTTCAATCGTACACATTTATATGTCTGTGGGAGTGGTGCTTTCAGTCCCGTCTGTACTTACTTGAACAGAGGGAGGAGATCAGAGGTAAGCGTAACTATTTAACATTCTTAGTTTTGATAATAGTGTCAAGGATTTTTGAAACTGTGTTTTACAGTAAAGACTTGGAAATATCAATATTCGTAAAATATTTTCATGCCCTTTAAACATAAAGTATATTACATATTTTCCTGTCTGCCAAGTTACTTGAAGTATGACCTTTTGCCTTCAGCTAAAAATGTGTATATATTTTTGTGTGTATTATAAATACGTAAATATATATATATACTTTTAGTTGGACACAACTATATATATATAGTTTTAGTGTATATGTATATATTTTTAGTATATCTATATTTGTAAAGCTGTAAAAGATAAAAATGTTATAGTTTCAAGATAACTTGAATGTAATACAGTGATAATATTTGCTCCAAATTATAGAAATATTGTAGCATAAACTTAACCTTCTCAAATCTAGTATAATTTCTTGTCTTTCAAATTCAATAAAACTTTATAAATGTATATCTGTAAAAGATGTATAAAGCAGGATGCCAAGTATCTGCTGAAAAGAACTTGATGTAATTAACAAATCATACTTTTATCTTAGACCAACATCATCCTACATTAGGCTATTCCAGCCTTATTCTTACATTTGTTAGAGTGATATGGGGTATTATGATATGATGTTTGCTGAACACTAGTCAAATATATACCTAATGTATAGTCGAATATGAGGCTAGTTAAACTTCACCTGTGCTACTTAAGCCTTTGTTATCCCAGTCCACAGCTGTTGACTAAGGAAAGTACATTACACCGAGAGAGTTTCTACTCATTCTTTTAGTCAAACATCTTGTTTTACTTAATATAATTATTTTAAAAACTGAATTTTTTTTTTTTTTTGGAAAATGGAGTCTTGCTCTGTCACCCAGGCTGGAGTGCAATGGCGCGATCTCGGCTCACTGCAAACTCCGCCTCCTGGGTTCACGCCATTCTCCTGCCTCAGCCTCCCAAGTAGCTGGGACTATAGGCATCTGCCACCACGCCCAGCTAATTTTTTGTATTTTTAGTAGAGATGGGGTTTCACTGTGTTAACCAGGATGGTCTTGATCTCCTGACCTTATGATCCACCCGCCTCGGCTTCCCAAAGTGCTGGGATTACAGGCATGAGCCACCACGCCTGGCCAAAAACTGAATTTTCAAACTTGGTTTGGCTTTATTATGCAACTTAAATATAGAAAGTCCAGTTTTTAAATAATATTTTAATTTGATTTTTTAGATTAGAATTTTGCAAAAAATAAATATGGCTACTGATCTAAAGCTTATTTTCCTTTAACAACAGTTAATCTATTTTAGTACTAATGACTGAACAATGATGCTTTTTTAAGTTGTTTTTCAGACATGTAATTTATACATAAGTATGTTTTAATGAATAAGAAGTCACTGAAAAATAATTATAATTTGACCCCAAAATGAGACATTTTTAATGTGGTTCAAGATGTTATGAAATATTAAAATTCTTACAAGGAAAGTAAAGTTATGCTTTTTGGAAGAATACAGTTGGCTGCATTGAACTTGTCATTAAAACCACATGCCTGTGATCAATTGATTAAATGAACTACTGCCTCAGACGTCTGCAATCTGTCAGACACTTCCCTGAAGTCTGTGCAGTCACTGTACAGGCCAACAATAGCATAGCCATTTTCAGAGCACACATTTCAAATAAAATTATTTTCCCATGTACGAATTGCCCACTATGCACTTCAAGGCGTAATTGGAAATTCTGTCCAAAAAAATAATCTCCTTTGGAAAACCAGCATGGAATACATTTTAATCACTTTGCTAAATATGAACTACTTTAGTCTCACTTCAAAAGATATGTTTCAAAAGAGAAGCAGTTTCATTAATGAATCTCTGAAATAATATGTGAACATCTTAAGAGCCAATTTAGGTATGAACAGGGTTATGATTTTTAAGCTTTATAAAATGTAGTCCTTGATAGTTCACTCTAGTCGGAGAATCTCACCATAACGTCACTTTTGTATATTTGTAGTATGAAAACCATAGTGTAAATATAGAACTACACAGTTTAATCAAACAGATAATGGATTTGCTTTCTTTTAGTTTAGGATAAAAGCTCTCCTAGCATAAAATGACCATGATGCAGAAAGTTTTATTTTGAGAGAATTCTTCTCTATCACTAACATTGTATTTTGTCATCACCAAGGGTAATAGTTACTGTTGATACTCTTTTATTATTATTGAGAGATGACATTTTTCATCTATTCAACCATAATTTGAAGGTGAACCAAGTTAGGTTGGCAGAGTTATTTTAATTATTCAATTTTATATCTGGGACATTACCTGCCATCTTTCATTGGAGTGTCTTCATAGATATTCATTGGTGTTAGGGAGATATTTGATGAGCCTACTTCGTGTTTGGCACATCACATGCTTTTGTTATATCCCATTTGTCTTCTATTATTTGCAAGACTGATTCAGAGCTTTCTGAGATTTCAACAGTACCCACCTAAAGAGCCTAGAATCCTTGCTACATGAAGACCTAACCACAGTTCTTCTCTTGTGTCTACTGTCTTTACTTCTTGTCTTCTGTTCCTGGAAAAAGATAAAGCAATACAAGTGAATTATGACTTTAAATGAATGAATAAAACATCAAGCAAAAATGGTGATTGGTTAATTTTGCAGCAAATTCTTGGAATATTACCACATCTTATCTTTGATTTCATCAGATGTTTTCATAACATCTGTTTCAACAACTGAATACCAATTAAGCTCCCCCTAAGCTCCCCTGACCCTGACCCTCATCAGGCAGGTAACTTTACCTTAGACTGACCAAGAATATCACGGGTGACCAAGAATGTCATAGGTATGCAAATTATCTTCTATGCTTTTTGAATGAAATTTGCCACCAATCTAGTCTGTTTCAGTATCTTTTGCTAGTATGTTTTCTGTTTTAGAAGAAAAATTATACATTTTCTGTATTAAATTCTTTGATAAATAACCTTCATATTTTACTTTTTTTTTTTTTTTTTTTTGCCCATTTACAGAAAGGATTGGGTTTCTTTCCCTTAAAATCCTTTTTTTGGTTCTGTGACTTCTTTTTTCTAATTTTCTCCTTTCTCTTTTACTTCATTACTGAGCTGCTCAGAGTAGGAGGCTGAATTTCTAGGTTTTATGCTCCAGTTCTGTATATCTTTATTTATCCTTTCTAATATTTCACTCCTACACATTAACTAAAACTGTTTGATTAATGGCAGATTCCTCAGTGACCAAGTTGACTCCCTCAATCTGTATCCCCTCTCCTAGAACAATCTATGACATTAAATTCCGCCATTCATGGTCTGTATTTTTCATTGCTTTTATTGACGTCTATGACCATAGGACACTTTGCTATGCCTACTTTTTAATTTTTCACCACCTACTCCCTGTTATTTTCTCTTATTGTTCAATCCAGAAATATTCATTTAATGAGAATAAAAGCAGAATCAAAATCATGTTGAAGCTTAGGCTACTTTAAAGATCATGGTCTTTCTTATATCTCAACAGAGAAGTAAATTAGAACAATCTTTAGCAGAAAATGGCATGAACAGAATTGTGTTGTCACTTGTGTGTTAGGTAACAGATGATTTGTGGCATGGGGAGAAGGGGAGTGGAAAAGTTGTAGGAGATTAGTTTGAGAGTTGACGTAGAAGACCACAAAAGAGATTGTTTTACTCAGGTGATAGCAATGGTGACAGAGAGTATAAAATGGTATAAAGTGTAAAATAGTATAGATGATGTTGATGGATTTGGATATAGAAAAGAAAATGATATAAATGTTGACACTTTCCTTGTTCGTTTGTTATTTTCAGCCTCTTTAATTGTATAGTTGCTATGAACTGAGATGAGAATGAAGAGACCATGTATAGGGTAAAGATTATAAGCCTGAGTTTGGTCTGTTGAATGAGAGATGCCATGGAAAGGTCTAACTAGTGATATCAAGTAGGTGGTTAAATATAAGGCTGAGTATATACATGTGTGAGTCATTGTTTATAAGAGTAACTGGAGCCCAAGAAAAGTATGGATTTAATTACGCAGAGAGGGAGATAAAGTATAGAGTGAAAGAAAAGAATGACTATGATTGAGACTTGAGGGTCTCCTAACTAATGGCCAATTGGAGGAAAATCACCTTACAAACAAGCCTTAAAAGGAGCAGACAGGGCGGAGCGGGGTGGCTCATGTCTGTAATCCCAGCGCTTTAGGAGGCCAAGGCGGGTGGATCACGGGTCAGGAGATCGAGACCATCCCGGCTAACATGGTGAAACCCCGTCTCTACTAAAAATACAAAAAATTAGCCGGGCGTGGTGGTGGGTGCCTGTAGTCCCAGCTACTTGGGAGGCTGAGGCAGGAGAATGGGATGAACCCGGGAGGCGGAGCTTTCAGTGAGCCAAGATCATAGCCATTGCACTCCAGCCTGGGTGACAGAGCAAGACTCCATCTTAAAAAAATTAAGAGAAACAGACAGAGAAAGTGGGGTAGGGAAAAAAAGACTATATTGGTTCTGGGAAATAAAAATAAGTCATTGTAAAAACAGAAGTTTTCAACAATTCCAAGTGCCATTGAGAATTCAAGTAAGATGAAGTCTAAAAAATAAGCACTGAGTTGTGTATCATGATTGTCATTAAAGATCTTATCAATAAGTGTTTCAATGCAAAATTGACATTAGATGCTGAATTAAAGTGGATTGAAAATAAAATGGCAGGTCAGAAAATGGTTATGAGGATGTATGTAATTCCCTGAGAAGTGTGGTTTATAAGGAGAGTAGTATATGGGAGCTGAAGGAGTTGTTTAAATAATGGCATAAAGGCTCCAATTAATAAGATGAAAGTATGTATCAAATAAACGCAAGGAATAATGGAAATCTACGGTGCCCAAAAAGACAAGACAAGATGAAATCCAAAGCAATGAAATCTGAAGTACTGGCCTCAAAGTAAGAGAACTAGTCTCATGTATTAGTGAATATATTAATATAATACTACATTACTAAATATAATATGGTATTTGTGTGTTTAGTAGTGAGGAATTGAAGATATGCCATTTAAGGGCTTTGCTTTCTCTGCACAGTAGCAATAATATGAGTTGAGAATAAGTTAGGGGGTCAGAAAAATCAGGATTTGACTGTAGTGGCAAAGGCTTGAAATTTTTGATGACAGAACCAGTTGTGATAAGAGAATCTTTGAAAGGCCACTGTACATTGTAGGGGATCCACTTGTGGTTGGTGATCACAAATCTGCAGTGTATTAAATTTACTTTTTTAGGTTACCTTTTACAAAATCTTTAGTAGTTTGGAGGCAAGTATGGAGAATGTAGATAGATGTATTCCTTTGGGGTGTGGATGCAATGAAAAAAGTCATACATTCAAGGAATCGAATGTTGTGTCAAAATTTATTGAAATTAAAAATGGAATCTGGCCAGACACAGTGGCTCATGTCTGTAATCCTAGCAATTTGAGAGGCCAAGGTGGGCAGATCACTTGAGCCCAAGAGTTTTAGACCAGCCCGGGGAACATGGTGAAAGCCCCGTCTCTATAAAAAAAAAAAATACAAAAAAAATAACCAGGCATGGTTGTGCATCCCTGTAGTCCTCGCTACTCCAGAGGCTGAGGCATGAGAATCGCTTGAACCTGGAATGTGGAGGTTGCCGTAAGCCGAGACTGTACCACTGCACTCCAGCCCAGGAGATAGAGCTAGACCCTGTCTTTAAAAAACAAACAAACAAACAAACAAACAAAAAACATGGAATCTAACCTGTTAACAAAGTCAAAAAGAGAAAAGCCTAATGAACTGGGGAGAAGTAGAGAAGAATTCTTAGGAGACAAGTCTGAAGAATTATTTCAGGGTACTTGAGATAGTTATTATTAGGATAGACCATGTCTGCTCCTGGTGGTGACAAGATCTACATCTAGAGTGCTGTGTGATGTAGGAGTAGGTCAGTTGAGAGCAAATGGTACCTAAACAACCTCATCAATTCCTGCAAGACGAACTCTCACTTATTTGGTCAAATCGATCTCCAGCTCTAGAATCACAATAAGGCTTTTTTGTTTGTTTTTCTTCTGGTTTATGATTTTTTTTTAGTTTAGTCGTTAACATGAATGAAGACCTTTTGGAAATCTGATTCACTAGGAGTCAGGAGACTGAATTCAAATTGTGCTATTATCACCCTTTAACTACATGGTCTTCTGGACAAGTCATATTTTTTCATCACCTGTAGAGTGACTTCATTGATGAAGATCTTAGGATACTCAGAAAGAACCTTTTTAGGCTAGAGGTCTGTGATTCTTTTTAAGCTCTATTATTCTCTGTTATGTTCAGAGAGGTCCTACGGTAGTATAGACACTCAGTATAACAACTGTGTACTAGCTTTATTTTTTCAAGGAGTCAAAACTTTGGAATCATCTTTGTTTTCCTGAATATGATCAATTAGAAATTGATTGTGATTGATGATCACATATCTATAGTTGTTTGGATTTGCCTTTTTAGGTTCCTTTTACAAAAGTAGTTTGGAGGCACGTATAGAGAATGTAATAGATGTATCCTTTCAGGTGTGGAGGCAATGTGAAAAGGACAACAAGTACAATGAAATTAGAACCACCAAATTATAACTGATTGCCAAGCTCTGTTGATTGCCACTATATAAATTTTCTTACATCTCTGCTGCTCTTACCTTGACCACAGAAAACATGCCATGTCAGATTATTACCTTCTAATTCCTGGACTCTTGTAATAGGAAACTAACCAGTTTTCCTGAATGCAGTGTCTGTTTTTATAAATTTCATTCCCAGTCTTCCTAGATAAAGGCCAACTTTCTAGAGCAAGGTTTTGATCTTTCCATTTCCACACTCAAAAATATTACTGAGTTCACATTTCTTTCAGGATAACTTTCAAAAGCCTTAGCTTGATAATTAAGATTCCTTATCATCTTATTTGACCTATTAAAATGGTCATTTGTTTTTACTTTGAATTTTAGTAGGGGGCTTGTACTAACTTTATATAAAGAAAAAGGTACATATTTATACTGACAAGATACTTGTTCTTGCTGAGGCTAAAACCATTGAATTTATTGCCCCCAATCTATAGTCGTCTCTCTTCCCTTTTCCTGCTTAACTTTCCTTCTCAGTAGCAAGCACTATCTAACATATTCCATAGTTTAATTATTTATTAGGTTTCTCACTAGGTTATAAATTACTTGAGGACAAAAATTTTGGTGTATTTTATTTACAATATCCCCAGTGTTTAGTCAGTTTCTGGTACATGGCAGATGCTCAGTAAATTTTTGTTAAATAAATTCATGAGTAAATGGCACATTTTAAATCTGAATTATGAATTGTTTTGTTGAATCTTGTACAATGCTTTATATGATAACATTAAACAGTAAGATAAAATTCTATGTTTTAAAAATCTTAATTATTTTGAAAATATTATAGTCCTTACATAGATTGTTCCTCTATGGACAATTGTCTTCTTTCGGCTGATGTTCAACACATGTAGTTGAGATTTATAATAATACTTGGTTTTCAAGTGATTTTTGCTAATGTCGATTTGCGGAGAACGACTTCTTGGATTAGCCCTCTGGGGAGTGTAATAGAATGAGAGCTAGCCCTTCTGTGGTTAGCTTGTAATTACAGATCAATTCTCCTCATAGTTTTAGCAAGTCTTAATATAGTAAATTGGAAGGCATAATAAGCAACCAACTAGAAAGCATATTAATTTTAACGATGCTTTGTTTTACTGATGAACAATTGTCTTCACTAAATAAGTTATTGTTGCCACATTTTAAATTTTATCTACAATAAAGGACCAAGTTTTCATGATTGACTCCAAGTGTGAATCTGGAAAAGGACGCTGCTCTTTCAACCCCAACGTGAACACGGTGTCTGTTATGATCAGTAAGTAGACAATGAAAGAGGGAGGATTAAACATAAAATAACATGGAAAATTAGCTTGACATGGTAGGCCTGTTCTTGATGGTTGTATGGATGATAGTATATGAGTAAAATAATACGAAGAAAGTTGTGAGCTGAGAAATAGAGAGTTCAGTTTCTCATTTGTAAGAATAAGATTAATTAATAAGCATGTAACTTTTCATCTATAAATGACAGTTTCGTCATTCCTAGAGCAAGCCAAGCATTTTTAAAAGTGTGTATATGTATACTTACATATTATCATATGTATACTTATATGTATACTTATATATTATCATAAAGTAGTTTTCAGTGTTTTCTGTAATTGTGTTTGTAGTATTAAGTACACCCACTTTTCCTCATGTTTTAGTATTTTTTCTTTTCCTTTCATTATTTTTTATTTGTTTTTAGTTGAAAAATAATTGTGTATATTTATAGAATACAATGTGGTGTTTTGATCTATGTATACGTAAAGGAAAAATTCAGTCAAGCCAATTGACATATCCATTACCTCACCAACTTATTTTTTTGTGGTGAGAATGTTAAAAATCTATTTTTAAGCAATTTGGAAATATACAATAAATTTTATTTATTGTCACCATGGTCACTGTGCAGTATAGTAGATCACTAAAATCACATAAAATTTATTCCTTGGATAAACATCTTTTTTTTTTTTGCCCCTCCCTCTATCCTCCAGCCCCTAATAATTACCCTTCTACCTCTGTTTCTATGAGATCAACTTTTGTAGATTCTACATATAAGTGAGATCATATGTTATTTGTCTTTCTGTGCCTGGCTTATTTCACTTAGTGTAATGTCCTCCAGTTCCATCCATGTTGTTATAAATGACAACATTTCATTCTTTTTTAAGGCTGTATAGTATTCCATTGTGTATATATGTACCACATTTTTAAAAATCCATTCATATGTTGATGAACACTTAGGTTGCTTCCATGTCTTAGCTTTTGTGAATAATGCTGAAATGAACATGGAAGTATAGACAATGAAATATCACCTCACACCTGTTTGAATGGCTGTTATCAAAAAAGACAAATAACAAGTGTTGGGAAGTATATGGAGAAGAAGAAATTGTGTAAATTGTTGGTGGGATTGTAAATTAGTACAGTCATTTTGGGAAATGGTATGAACATTCCCCAAAAAACAAAAAATAGAATCACCATATGATCCAGCATTTCCTCTTCTGGGTATATATCCAAAGGAATTGAAACCAGTATGTCAAAGAGGTATCTGCACTCCTGTGTTTTATTAATCTTTTAGAAATAGCTAAAGGGGTGTTTTTTCAAAGGAAAGATGAACAAAGTGCACGTGTTAGCCAAGTACATTCTCTGGGGACTGTCTAAAAATTGCTATGGCAAAAAGGAGATGGTAATAAAGCTATTTTTTTCATTTTTTCACTTTACACAAAATATCAGTTAAGCCACGTGCCTAATTGCTTAATGATCCACACATTGACAAGTCAATTTTTAAACCTCAGTCATTGAATGGCTTTCCATGACTCACTTAAAATACATTCTCTTTTGATTAAGACACTTTAAAAATATGCCTGAGTTGGCCTGGAGCAGTTTTTCATGCCTGTAATCCCAGAATTTTGGGAGGCCAGGGTGGGTGGATCACCTAAGGTTGGAAGTTTGAGACCAGCCTGACCAACATGGAGAAACTCTGTCTCTACTAAAAATACAAAAAAATTAGCCAGGCATGGTGGCATGCACCTGTAATCCCAGCTACTTGGGAGACTGAGGAAGGAGAATCACTTGAACTTGAGAGGCAGAGGTTGCGGTGAGCTGAGATTGTGACATTACATTCCAGTCTGGGCAACAAGAGTGAAACTCCGTCTCAAAAAAAAAAAATATATATATATATGTGTCTGAGTATAAATATATATATTTATATATCTGAGTATAAATATATATATTTATATGTGTGAGTATTAAATATATATGTATATTTTTATATATATCTGAGTACAAATATATATGTATATACTTACATATCTGAGAATATATATATATATCTGAGTTACCATGTGTTGACCAAGTAGCAAATGCTGGATTTTAGTATGTCATACATACAGTAGATATCTTTTCCTCTTTGCTTTTTTTTAATGTATTGCCAGCATTAAAATTTCATCCTTCAACCATAGAATAGGTGAAAAATAATTGTTGTGTTCAAAATGCTTGCTTTGATTCATCTACATAGATAACTCATCTTTCTTTCTCATATCTGGAAATTACATTAAGACAGGTAAACCTTGGAAGTTATTCAGTGAATTGCTTGAATATTGGCATTCAAATGAGACAGGGAGGAGCCAAAAGTATATCATTTAGGACATAAAGTTAGCTTTGAAACTACAAAGTTATCGAATTATGTCCTATGCAAGGCATGTTTCCAAATATTATTTAATAGAAGCAGTGGTTTGGAAATTCTTTTCTCCATTATAAAGGAAATTTTATTCACCTTCAGAAACCATGTGGTGTGTTTGATAGTAATTAAATATACATAGTTTTCATTTGTTTCCATTTAAATGCTACAAAATAAACCTCAAGGGTCTGTTCACATAGCTGCTACTGGAGTTTTATCTCATTGAATATTGTTTAGAATAATAAGGATTAGAACAAGGCATTATAAATTTTCTTGCTAAATTGTCTTAAGTCATTTAATAGTCTTGCCCTTAGAGAACTGGATTTGTTTCCAGAATAGGAGTTAGACATTGGCCTTCTTTGTTTCTCAAGGACCTGAGAGTTGAATTCCTATGCTTGTGTTCCTATACTATTAATATTTGAGTAACTTTACATTTTTTAATCAAATGAAAGTCACTAAACAATTTGCTTAACTTAAAAACTGACAGTAAAAAGAACAAAAAGCTTTATGAGATTGTAGTTATAATTTTATTCATCCAGTTGATTATCCCTCTAAAATTACCTCCTGTGATTTGTGTGGTCATCTCCCTTAACCTTGTGATAGTGCTTTATCATTTCCATTCAAGCACAGTGCGCTAAAAAAAAGCACAGATTGGTTAAGATATTTATATCTATTAAATGACCAGAGACCTGAAGAATTAGAATTCCAAATTTCATAATGTAGTTGTGCAAGTTCACTGTGGTTTTGCTATTTTCAGTCACTGCCGTAGGGGAACAACGAAGTCGAATGTTGTCTTTTAAAGAGTCTACATAAACTTTATGAAGTTTTTCTAGTTGGTAGAAATGCAATTGGAAAGCAAAATGTTTTTGAAATAAAGTTAAAAGGCACAAGTTTATCTCTGCATGAAGTCCTGCAAAAAATCTTCTTCTCAAAATGGTTACCAAAGTGACATTAATCAAAAATTTCTTATTGATATAAAATGAAGCAGAAAGTTCCTAACTTGCTATTAAAATTACTGAGAATTTAATATAGGAAATGAAGCCAATTAGACGTGCAGGCTTATGTAATGTTTGAGACAGAACTAATAAGATGGTATGAAGTAGGATTAGAATTAGTCCTCTCTGCCATTCATAAACTTCTTAGTATCTTTTTTCTCTTTCTGCTTGAAAACAGATACGACAATTGATAGCTGTGTCAATCTGTTGAATAGCAGGAATGTATAATCCACAGTTTTATTGTAACAAAAATGTGAAATAATTATTTACAAAGTTGCCACAATTTAATAGCTATATCTGTGTGTATATAAGCCTCACAAATGTTCTCAGAATTTTAAAGAAGCTAAAATGGTAAAGAAAAAAAAGCCTTCATGCACATTTTTGTTATCTCCTTGTAATCTCTTTCCATGGACCTAGAACCCCTACTAGGAAGGAGAGCTGAGCAACCAAATACCTGCCACACCAGCTTGCTAACTGGTAGGGGTCCAGTTCATAACCTGGTGAGCACATATTAGACACATTCCATTCTCCATTCGATGCTGGGCCGACTGGTACTGCTTATTCCTAAACAGTGAGCTTAGAGTACTTTGAAACGTTCCAGTCCTGCCAAAATGACCACAGTCTGAAGGTAGCCCAGGGAGTAATCCTAGAACAACAGTCAAGGAACACAGCTGCATGGCAGTTCAGTGGGCCAGGCTGATAAATTTCATGCGTTTTAAAATAGATATTTAGCTACTGTTTTATACTCAGGAGTCACATTTGTTACCAATTCAATGCTTACTGCTTCTTACTAGATGAAAAGTAATATGGATCTTCGAACAATAAGCTAAATGTTGAATGTTATGTATATATGTATGTATAGATTAATACATCTGATTCTGTTAATAGTAAAAATTTATTTAATTTTAAATACCTTTTCTTTCTTATCATTGTATTCTATTTTTATGGCTGAGTTGCAGTTGAAAAAGTAGCACTTTGTTTACCTTACCAGGAACCTTCTAGCACTAAAGATCAAAATATATACTTTTAGTGATTACATTTTTCAATCACTGATAATATTTTGACAGTTATAATGTGGCTTCCTCGTCATGTCATAATAATAGTTTTTAAAACTATTATGTTCAATCCATTTAGGAAAGTCATAGAAATTTTAATATGTGTTAAGAACTTTTAAGATCATAATCTAATTCCCATACATTATAGATTAGAAGGTTGAAACTCCAGATGTTCAATAGCTTAGCACTAATTCCCAGCCTGTTAGGAATTACCAAAGTTAGAAACCATGTTTTCTGACTCTTACAGTGTTTCTCTTTTAAATGTGTTATAGGTAAACAATTAAGCTATTTTGTTATCTATATACACCTGCCATTTCTGATAGACTCTATATAAAAATTAATATATAGTATAATTAAGTACAAGTAGAGGAACTTTCACTTTTACATAGAATAAAGTTGCTTTGAGGTTTGATTTTTTTAAAAACATAGTAATTATCATTCAGGCAATAATGAGAAAAGATTAAAATTTATAAAATTTATTGATTCACTGAACAGTGCCAACCAATTAACATTTGGTTATAACCAATTATCATAACACTGTAATACCTGTGGTGATCTCCTAATAAACTCATATAGAACTTCAAAATAGCTTTAAAAATTTACATTTCATTAATATTTTCTTTTTCATAGATGAGGAGCTTTTCTCTGGAATGTATATAGATTTCATGGGGACAGATGCTGCTATTTTTCGAAGTTTAACCAAGAGGAATGCGGTCAGAACTGATCAGCATAATTCCAAATGGCTAAGTGGTAAGAAAGCATTTGATGCATTTTTTTTTTAATCATGTTAAACTAACTTATTTAATTCCATCCTAACAACTAGGGATAATGGTTAAAAACTAAAATATCAAGCTATGACATGAATAATAGTAATTCTGTACTCTATGATTTAAAATATTTGGGGAAAATAAATAATTGAATAGCTCATAGTCCACATTTTGATTCTTTATTTCTATTAATCATCCTACAGTTATAAGAATATGAATAAATAAAAGTGACAGTGATAATTTATATTTCAGTACCCAAGCATCTTCTCCAGTTGTTTAATTGTAACATATTGCAATTAAATATGCTTTTTACTTCATTTAATCTGCTTGTATATTTTAACAATACCAAATCTAAAAATTATACCAAATGTATGACATTTAGATGAAATGAATAGGGTATAGCCGGGGCCTCCTTTTTTGTTTTAAACTTAGATTCTAAAATTATGAAACTGGTATGTATTTTCTCATAAATGGACTAATATTCAGTAGAAATCATAGGAATGATAACTTTATGATTATCCGTATTCAGTTGCCTCCAGCTCTTGGCATCATATGGAATTCACATCAAAAAAGGTGCTCATTTGGTTTTACCGTATTATTCCAATCAATTGCTGTTGTTTAGGGCAATTTAAAAAAAAAAAAAAAAAACCTAAGATTCTTGTCATTTCACCCTGGAGAAAATTTTTAGCTGACCCTTAATGTGGCAATTCATTTAACATTGCAGAGTTAAGCATGAATCACCACAGTGAAGCATCCTATTTCGCTGATAGGCCAGCACAAGAAAGCATTGATTGTTCATTTACTTCTTCAGATTATTCCTCCAGTACATCTGGAAATAGAATATTCTAAAAGTTGCTCTGTTCTTGAAATAAGGAAACCCTGTATGTCTCCAAATGACTAACGATGCTGTTTTTCCTTGAAAAGTTTCCCCTTCATTTCATATGTTGCGTTTTAAGAAAGATCATGTTTTTCAGAGTTTGGACTTCCAACTCCTTATTCTGCTTCAACGAATTTGAGTTTATATGCGCTAGATTGAAAAACACACTTTGAAAAATAAATATTTTTTTCAATAAAACAGCCATCAGATTCCTTAGGAAATAACTGGTAGAAAAGTTTTTCAATTTTGTGAAACTCACCAGTGCACAAAGAATTTTTGTATTTCCTGCACTTCCAGAATGTATTGCAAACAAAAAATAAAGTGATTTATCATACTATAGCTATACTTTGTGGTACCTGGCATTCCAAATGTGGTATGGTGAGTGAATGCAATTACTGCTTTTAGAAATGGTATCTGTAAATATTGAATTGTTTTTTCTACCAAAGATGGGGAAGGCATGTGCCTGTGGTCTACTTAGATGACAGAAGATGGATTTTCATCATGAATATATACCTAGTCTTTTGTATTTTCTTCTAGAACCTATGTTTGTAGATGCACATGTCATCCCAGATGGTACTGATCCAAATGATGCTAAGGTATACTTCTTCTTCAAAGAAAAACTGACTGACAATAACAGGAGCACAAAACAGATTCATTCCATGATTGCTCGAATATGTCCTGTAAGTATTAATGATTGTATATTTTAACAGTACCAAATCTAATTTGAAGAAAGACCAAGAAATTCAAATTGTACTTTATCTCCGTGCTTTTATTATCAACTATTACAAATAAATGAAATATTGAGGGGAACATTTAAGGTAACATTCATCATTATTGTATTTAATATTCATCATTTTATATTGAATATAGTGTTTATAACCGTAACTCAAAATTCTAACCTTCATTAAGGTATATGAGATAAGCATACCCTATTTTAGTAAATATCTTAATTTAAGAAAATATTTTGTTTGTGTTCTTGAACAAATAAACACTTGTGGCAAATTTCTACGTATCCATTTAATGCATTGCTATTCAAAAAAATAGCTAAATTGTATATTACCAAAAGAAACTGATTTTTGTGAATAAAATACAGTAACTATCTCAGTAAAAGATGATTATTAAGGAACCATTTATAAATAGTGAAAAGAACAGCTTTAATAAAATAAAATTCTAATTAAAAACAGTAACCAAAATGTTCTTGTGTAGAAACAATAAGTATACATAGCAACACAAGGAAATTTGTGACGTCCTATTTATCATAGAGTTTTACAGACTTGTCCTGATGTATTTATGATTAGCGTCGTTTGTGAAAAAAATGTTTCTTAAAGTGCTTAGTGTTTAAAATAGTTTATATATTATAATATTCCACTGATCATGGAGCTCAGCTGTTTCTCAGTCATTTGCAACAAGACAGCAAAGTCAGCAGAAGGGCTAAAAGGCTTTTGGACACAGAAAAAAAATGTCTTCAATAGAGACTATTTGTGAATGATCCAAATGCCATCTCCCCTTACAATGTATAATAAGGCATCGGATTAGAAATACTGAAAATTATGTGATAATTTGGATAAATGAAGGAGTGAATATAAAACTGTTGGGGACCGTTTGGTGTAAAGATATAAGCACTCTCCTGACCACAATCTGCAGGACTCACCGTATATAATAATTTATGTTCAAATTGAAGACAATTAGTTTTATCAAGGAAAGGTAGATTAAATGATCTGTTTTCCATGACATTTTATAAATACTTCCGTAGATTAAATGATCTGTTTTCCATGACATTTTATAAATACTTTCATTATACATTGTTAAAATTAGAAATAATTATGTCATACATTTATCAAATACATGTATTTTCAGCTGATATCATGCTGTAAGAGAATAATAGTATAACTATTGTATAAAATGCTATAAGTGATAAATATTCCTCTTTGACTATCGATGTGCAGAAGTGGTTAACATATCCATTCTTCAGATTTTCATCCTCCAAGCAACTAGAGTTCAAGTTGAATTTTTAATGTGCTTCAGTATTTACTTAAGCAATCTGAATTATGTTTACAAAATGGTTTTAGAATGACACTGGTGGACTGCGTAGCCTTGTCAACAAGTGGACCACTTTCTTAAAGGCGAGGCTGGTGTGCTCGGTAACAGATGAAGATGGCCCAGAAACGCACTTTGATGAATTAGGTACATACATATGAGATTGAAAAATGTTTCTGAAAGAAGGCTTTATATATTTAAATAAGGTCTCAGAAGAGGATGTATTTTCCGTATTTTCAGCATAAATAATATGCTAATTTAAAATAATTAAATAATTAAATAAATTGTCATAAATTTTCTTAAGTATTTTTTAATCTATTATGCCCATGAGTCACTGCTGAAACATTTAGCTCATTGAATTCACCATAATATACGAATGAATGTGTGTGTTTGGGAGTGTAACTTGTATAATTTGTATATAGGTAATGATATGTTTGTGTTTTTATATTTATTTCATGTATATTAGAATATCTAATATTCTGATTTTGTGTGAAAATACAGCTATATATTTTTACTATTGTAGCTAATGGACAGAATAGAGTGGATGGAAAAAAGTGTCAGAGTAGAAATTTGGAGACTTGTGTTCCCTTCTTAGTTCTGCTTGGTGACTCTGAGATTAAGTATTCTCAGTGTGACATGAGGCTTATACTTTCCAGGTCAAATAAGGACTGACAGTCTGATTACCTCTGCCAAGGAACAGTTTTTTATTTTTTTAATCTGAATATCCCAGGGCATATCATATTTACTAAATGCCATTTATAAATGACTTTTCTTTCACTGTAATTCATTAAAATGTAAAATAATGGTCATTCTCAGATTTTGAGACAGGTGATAATATAAGCTATAAATCTGTGTTATCATATGGAAAAAATTTACTGATTCTAATAGTTTTATAAACATGAACTATATCGTTCTTCTGCTCAAAAACCATTATGTTGATTATGGAACAAAAGTTTCTGGATAAGCTTTTCTAGAGAAAAGTTCTAAGTATTATTTTGTGAAAAGGCCTACTTGCTCATTCTATCCCTCCAAATGTTTGGGAATATTTTTATGTTTCAGTCTTTCTTTTTTTTTAGGGAGAGCTAGACATTGTCAGCCCTTATTCACATATGGAAGGACTAGTGGTTGTTAATTTCTTGTTTGAGTGGTTATAAATTTATTGCCTATGAGGTCATTTAAATTCATTGTTAATTTAAAATAAATACATATTTCTTTGTGTTTCTCAGCAATAATTATGTTAGCAAGATTGTCACTACATCTAGGCCTTTCGTATAATCATGGCAATTGATTATTAATTGGAGTTTTCTATCGGAAATCTACTTTCATATTCTGTTATTTATCACTTCATTATGCATACTTTTGTCTTTTGTCTTTGCCTTAGTATACTTTAAACATCTTTTTGTTAGAGGAGCTATCATTAAATAAAAGTATCACTAGCAATTTTGACCATTGCCACAGAAAGTTCTATTTGATGGTATGATAAGTTACTGTGAAAAAGTTTTATTCCATCTTCCAACTCCTAAGATTAGATCAAAAAGAAATTGAGATTTGTAATTTTTTAAAATTAAAACAGTAATATATTAACATTAAAGGATATTTAGAAAGAAGCACCAGAAAATTCCTATAGCTTTGCCTCCTGGAACACTCACTGTTAATCTTTTTCTTATATTCTGATGGATGTTTTTGAGGTTAATATGGTTCTAGTCCATATAATATGCCATTGTACTTTTTCCCCATAATATTTCCCCATAATATTATTTTACTAGCATGGTTTTCACAAGGATACAAAATTTTTATAAATTCTATTAGTATCTGTATTAATTTAACTTAATTTAGTGTTTCTATCATTACTTGTTTCCAGATTACCATGATGGTACAGGAATATCTTTTTACGGAATACTTTTCATAGTTGAAATTATTTTCTTAGGGTAAATTTTTCAAAACAAAAGTTACTCTTTAGAAACTTAAAGAATATTTTCCTTTTTATAGAGGATGTGTTTCTGCTGGAAACTGATAACCCGAGGACAACACTAGTGTATGGCATTTTTACAACATCAAGGTAATTATTCAACAGTTACATTTTACGAGTTAAACAATAAACTTCATGGAGTAACAGTAATTATTATAAAAGCATTCTTCTCTTCAACTTCTAATTTTACATGTCATTTGGGATGTAACCCTTCCATTTTATTTACTTTTGCCTGATTATCAAAATATATTGGAGCTAAACTAATGCTTTCCAAATGCTTTTGTAGAGAGTATTTGTAGCGATTGCATGATATTTTTATCAAACAAATGAAAATATGAATTATCATGTAGGAAAAAATAAATGATTTTTTTCAATAAAATAATTTGAGGACTCATGAGCAAATAAAACTTTTGGCATTTTTTTGGTTGCTGTTATCACAGGTAATAAATGTTTATCACCTGGATTGTAGTGATAGTAACACAAGTGTATACATATGTCCAAACTTACCACATTGTATACATTAATTATGTACTGTATTGTTTTTGTATACCAGTTATACCTTAGGAAAGCTGGAAACAATTGGGCATTTCTATAAAAATACTTTCTACTTCTGAAGTAAAGTGATGACTATTTAGAACCTGACAAAACATTGAACCAATTTTCTTTTTCTTTTTTCTTTTTTCTTTTTTTTTTTTTTTTTTTGTTTGAGACAGAGTCTCACTCTGTTGCCCAGGCTGGGTGCAGTGGCGCGATCTCGGCTCACTGCAAGCTCCGCCTCCGGGCTCACGCCATTCTCCTGCCTCAGCCTCCCGGAGTAGCTGGACTACAGGCGCCCCCACGCGCCCGGCTAATTTTATATTTTTATAGGTAGAGTTAGGGTTTCCACTCGGTTAGCCAGGATGGCCGTGATCTCCTGACCTTGTGATCCACCCGCCCCGGCCTCCCAAAGTGTTGGGATTACAGACGTGAGCCACCGCCCCTGGCCTTTTTTTTTTTTTCTTTTTTTTAAGATGGAGTCTTGCTCTGTTGCCCACGCTGGAGTGCAAGGTGTGGATCTCAGCTCACTGCGACCTCCGCTCCCAGGTTCAAACATTCTTCTGCCTCATCCTCCTGAGTAGCTGGGATTACAGGCATGTGCCACCACCCCAGCTAATTTTTTTTTTTTTTTTTGTTAGGTAGAAAACAGGGTTTCACCATGTTGGTCAGGCTGGTCTCAAACTCCTGACCTTTGGATCCGCCAACTTGTACCTCCCAAAGTGCTTGAGATTACAGGCATGAGCCACCGTGCCCGGACAATTTTCTTATTCCATAGTGAGATTATTTTATGTATTTGAAATTAGTTTAATGTTTTCTCATTCTCTGGGAATGCCCAAACTAATTAAAGTATATATTTCAAGATAAAAAATAATATTTTCATATTTTCCTGCTCTATATTTTTCTTTATTAATTTTATACTAGGGGCATATTCCTTAGAGTTGAGCTGTAACTCAGCCAGTGTGGAAGATAATGGGTCTCTTTGATTAGACAATCAACTACAAAACAAAACTCTAAAGATTTTCGCTTTTTTCTTTAATGGGAAAAACACAGTATAATTGTAAACTGCAATGAGCTATTAAAAGTAAAAGAAATGTACAAGGAAATTGTTTTTAAATATTTGCGGTTGCCCCACAAGATGTCTGAAAAGATGTCTTTAAGGATGTGTTTAACTCCTGTTCTAAGTAGTCTTGATTTAACTCACGAAAGAATTGAACAAAGAGACCGGGCGCGGTGGCTCACGCCTGTAATCCCAGCACTTTGGGAGGCCGAGGCGGGGGATCATAAGGTCAGGAGATTGAGACCATCCTGGCGAACACGGTGAAACCCCGTTTCTACTAAAAATACAAAAAATTAGCCGGGCGTGGTGGCGAACTACAGGGTCCCAGCTATGCGAGAGGCTGAGGCAGGAGAATGGTGTGAACCCGGGAGGCGGAGGTTGCAGTGAGCCGAGATCGCGCCACTGCACTCCAGCCTGGGCTTTGTCTCAAAAAAAAAAAAAAAAAAAAATTGAAAAAAAAAAAAAAAAAAAAAGAATTGAACAAAGAAAAAAAATCAAATTCTTAAGAAAATGTTGTTTTCAATAAAACTGTTTTTCTAGTTTTTTTTCCAATACCAGTAACTTTAATATCAAAAGATTCAAAATCATCATTCTGCCTGTTGTTAACGATTAACAATGTATCTTATTTGTTTTTATGGGAATGCACCTTTTTTCATTAGACATCTAATTTGAAATAAATATGTGAGTCAGAGAAATATTGGTTTCAGCCAACCTGCCATAGGACAATGGAAACATTTCTTACTAAAGAGTCGAACAAATTTTATGAGGTGTCATTGACTAAAGATGGTTTAGTGAATATTTTGGGGCTCCTATTTTTTGTTCTGTGACCAACAGGGGAAGTACATAAACCGTGACGACATAGACTTCTCCAACTAGTATTCAAGATACCATGTGAGAACACTCTCATTAAAATAATCATAATACAGAAAGATATGGTGTTAAATTATTAATGAGATTCATTTCTTTGAGTTAAATGCTGATAGGTTATATGATAGTGATTTGGAATTCAAATTCATATTTTTAAATAAAATCATCAGTATACTTTCTTGCTGCTAAGATAAACTAGTTAGAAACTTTTTTGAGTTGTCCTATGTTTTGGAAACATTGAAAAGGATTTTACTATAACTTATTGTCTATCTCCGTGGATGAATTGAATATTGTAATGCTTTATGTATCAATACCTTTTTTCAAAGTTTTTCAACTTTTCATATGTGTTCGATAACATTTAACTTTTCTATGGTGAATTATATTAACTTTTTATCATAAATTTTACCATATATTTTTTAATTGTACTTTAATCTTAAAAATTCGAAAATGCCTTTTTCTGTTTTCTTTTTTAGCTCAGTTTTCAAAGGATCAGCAGTGTGTGTGTATCATTTATCTGATATACAGACTGTGTTTAATGGGCCTTTTGCCCACAAAGAAGGGCCCAATCACCAGCTGATTTCCTATCAGGGCAGAATTCCATATCCTCGCCCTGGAACTGTAAGTATCCAGGAAAAATTCTTTGTTATGATGCTTTATAAAAATTCATTTAACAGCTGGGTGCGGTGGCTCAAGCCTGTAATCCCAGCACTTTGGAAGGCGGAGGTGGGCGGATCACGAGGTCAGGAGATCAAGACCATCCTGGCTAACATGGTGAAACCCCGTCTCTACTAAAAATACAAAAAAATTAGCCAGGCCTGGTGGTGGGTGCCTGTAGTCCCAGCTACTCGGGAGGCTGAGGCAGGAGAATGGCGTGAACCCGGGAGGCGGAGCTTGCAGTGAGCCAAGATCGTGCCACTGCCCTCCAGCCTGGGCAACAGACAGAGCAAGACTCTGTCTCAAAATAATAATAATAATAATAAATTCATTTAACAAGTAATGAATATCTGTGGGGTTTTGGGGGGTTTTTTTGAGACGAAGTCTCGCTGTGTTGCCCAGGGTGGAATGTAGTGGCACAATCTCAGCTCACCTCACCCTCCACCTCCAGGATTCAAGCAATTCTCCTGCTTCAGCCTCCTAAGTAGCTGGTATTACAAGCAGGCACCACCACGCCCGGCTAATTTTTGTATTTTTAGTAGAGATGGGGTTTCACCATGTTGGTCAGGCTGATCTTGAACTCCTGACCTCATGATCCGCCCGCCTTGGCCTCCCAAAGTGCTGGGATTACAGGCATGAGCCACTGCAGCCTGAATATCTGTTTTAATTAAGGAACAACCGTGTGAGAAATAATTTAGAGATACTTCATATAGAGATAGTGCCATTTCTAGGAATCTATTTAGATAGAAATTATGTTACATCTCAAAGGAAGAAAATTTATGTTAGCAAATAATTACAACAAATGAGATGTAATTATTCAAAAAAAATATTTATAAAGTAACACAAATTAGAACGATTTAACTATAGGCAGCTTTCTAATTAGGAATGGTCTGAAATAGAAGTACTGTTATTAAAGCAGGTAGATATATCTGTATCATGCAATATTAGTAGTATTAGGGATACATTGAAAACTCAGTTTTCCAGCTGAAGATACAGAGAGTGCACTTGAATATTAGAACCAGAATTTTTCTAAGGGTCCATTGATAAGTCCTACTCTTTCTTTTTCATTTGGCCTATAATAATGCTGCCTTCTAGAATGTTGATTAGTTTTTGTTTCTAAAATGTCAGACAGTACACCGAGAGATGTTATACAATTGAACATTAATAGAAATGTAATCTTATATCTCTGTATTTCATAAAATAGGGTTGTAATTATAGAATGGATAAATATGAACAATGAATTTATTTTAAAAATCAAAAGATAGATACTAACAGTTAGGTTAACAAGGTGTTCCTTTTTTCTTGAATTTGAAATTATCTTTGCTAATATTCTTCCAAATAATTATCACATATAATTTTTACTAATTGTTGATTCATTTTATCTTTGTTATTAGAGTTTATTTGCAATATTGTTTACTCCTTTATTTTCTTATCTTAAATTATACTATTGTTCATTTTTTGAAAATTGAAAATACAGTTTGCTAAGCCTTTAAAGAGCACATTTTATTTCAAAATTTTTAAAGCTTAAGTTTCATTCCTAGCTAGGAAGCTCAAAGTTTAATCATTTATGTGTATTTTGTGTGGAACAATTGATCTTTAATTAACTTTGGAAAAATTATGGGAATTGCTACTTATTCATAAAAAGATTAAACTTTTAGGTCATGATTATAAGTGACAACAAAGTCCTGTCACGGAATTTATATTATCCTTTGAGATGATCTCTCTTTGATGTTCACAGCTTGAAAGAAGATGGACAAAACATTAATTTTGTATAAAACAGGGAAAAGCATCAGCGGATACAGCCATTTTAAGATTGGGGAGTGCTGGATAAGAAGCAGAAATTATTTAAGAGAAAAGGAAGGGGAGGCTGAACAACTTTGAAATTCCATTATATATCAAAGGCTGTTACTATTTTACTCAACATATTTTGTGCATTTTCAGAGAAAAATACACTTTTGAGAGTGACCTGCTATTTGAAATTGACCTAGTCATAGACTCATCTTAATATGGAAAACTAAGAGGTGGTTGTGTTTACATGTGCTTTCATCAGTGATTCTTTTGAACAACATATAAATAGGGTTACTACAGGAGCATTTGATTTGCAAACTCAACAAAATTCTGTTCCCCCCCAAAAAAAACTTAAGAGAAACCCTTCAAATAAAGATATTACCAAGATAAAAGAGAGCCATGCTGCTCGAATCAGAGTTTGAGGCCTCAGAGCCTCATGCAGTCTGTGCTGGAGCCAGCATGTACCTAGCTTACATGAGCAGATAATGTGCACCTCTTCTCAATTAAGAACATTAGAGTGGTAACTTGAAATCAGCCATCGTGAAACTATTTACACCATGGAAACTGACAAATGCTACAAATTAGGGATTTTTTTTTCCTCAAGAAAAGTGACCTCTGACATTACCTCTCATCAGGCTCTTCACCCAGGTGACAACTTGAAAGGCACCTTAACAGGTGTGTAGAACTCAGAGAATCACTGTGAGAAAACCACTCATGTCAGGCAGCAATTGTTCTACATAAAATGTAGGAATACTAAACCCTTTTTAGTAAAACAGAATAAACCAATGCTAAATTAGAAAATTCTGCTAACAGTCCCACTTTTCACTGTTTTTGAGCTCTGAAGAATGACCATTTGTTTCCTGTTCCAAAGCAGTGTAGAGTAAGCCAGGGTTAGCACCACACATCTGCAGCAGACTCCGTGAAAAAAGGGAGTAGTCAGGGTTTGAGAAATATTTCTATAATGTGGTTTCTTACATCTGGTGTTGAGACCAGAGCAGCTCCTTTAAATCAAAAAATTGTCAGATGAGTGATCCTTAGAGAATAAAAGAGGCAGGGTGGAGGAGTGACCTCTGGAACTCCTCCTGGAAAAGCGTACCTCCCTGAAGATCCTATCCCTCCACCCTTCAACCAGCAAAACATCATGAAGTCAGCTCTCTGACTCAGAGTGGCAGTGTCTGTCTCTTCCTGCACTTCCAGAGTTTAATATCGTCTCATGTAGCCAAACCATCTGCAGCCAAGTAATCCAAAGTATTCTCTCTTCTCTAAGGTTAAGAATGTTGCTTCTGAGGTCCTCCCAATGAAGGATCAACTGTGATTGTCCTACTTTATTTCCCCATACAGTAGTATGGTTGCCCAGTCAACCCCATAAATATATGGCTGTGTTCTTAAAGAAATGAGACTGGCAGAAATCTCATACCCTCGTTCTAATGTTCCCTATAGGTACTTCTTTTAAAGCACGGTTGATAGCTCAGTTAGCAAACGACCCCATCAGCAAGCCCAAGTCAGTAGGAAGAAGTCTGCCAATTGTGTCATAATATTTTTCCATAAGTAATTCAAGTTTGTGGAAGAAACAAGACACTTTTGGTATGTTGCAAAGGGCAGCCAAAGAATGAAAATTCTGTGGCCAAGCAAGCATATTACATTATTCTGCTGCAACGTGTATAAAGCTTTTGCAGGAGATTGTTTGTATATGTTGTATATCCTGTTAAGGCAGAACTTAATGAAAGTGTTCAACTTGAACATCTCTTTATAAGTATAACAGAGTCATGTGCTTCCATCATCATGCTTTGGACAGGTCGGGTGCATGCAAAGGATCACAGAAAATTGATGATCCACATAGTCAGTAGTGGCAAGGATACGAGAAGTTCATTGCTGGCAGTTTTGTTGATTACATACGTCTTCTGGTTGTGCTTACATTAGAGTATTTCTGTTTCTCTTAGATGTTTGAAAACAGGAACGTTTCTAAGAAAATTGAATGCATAAGACATACAGACATGAAAAATTAATTACATGTCATCTCACATCGTTATTCAAAACGTGAATAAAATTAAAAAAAAATATATCGAAGTTTAGAGGAGAGAGAGATTGTAGTAAAACAGCCTGATTTGAAAAGGGATAAAAAAATGTAAGATTGAACTTGCCCTAAAGAGTGATTGGATGTGAATAAATTGGGTAAGAAAGGAAGGAGTTTTCAGATGCAGGGTACAGCATACACTATAAGACACAGATGGAAATGAATAAGTGAGTTTTCAAAGCTCTGTGTGGGTTAGTAGGACTGGAACGGTGGGCTTTTATATGTAGGGGAGGGCAAATATAAGGAAGATGAGGGTCAGCTAATACACAAGTACAAGTCTTCAACTATGTAATTTTTTGGGCTTCAAAGGGCTTGGATTACCAAGGTTGAAACGTAAAATATGAGTTTTTCTCAGTATACAAATTTCATAGACCAGTACTAGAAATAAACCTAGATTCTAGAGTGCCACTAAGACCCTTTATATATCTATATACCACTCATCCCCCACGTGTTAGGTTAAGATCCCCTCGACCATGGTAGTCACTCTTTCTCTGCCTGGTTTGCATTATTTTCTGCAATCTGTCTTCAGCCTCACCTCCTACCTCTTTCCTTCACTTTGGGCTCCATGATCCAGCAGTGCCCTAGGAATTACAGTTCTCTAAATACTCCAAATTTTGTTTTCTCATCTCTAAACATCTTCACTGACCTTGGCAGCTGTAAGTTCTCCACTATTACAAACTCAGTTTAAAAATACTGGCTCTTGACTATGTAGGGAAATTGATCCTAAACCAAAATTGATTATTTATCTTACATTTGTCTCAAGTTATTACTTTTTGTCATAATATTGTTATTTTGCTTTGAATATGTCTTTCTTACTTGAATACTTGTGTCTAGAAGATAACAGTAATTTTATATTATTATATCCCCTACTGGGCACATCAGAGTGCTTTTTGGATAAAATATGTCCAAATAATGGATACATATATTAATATATAAGTATATTCTGAAAACTGGCCTAATGGATGTGAAGATTAAGAGAACATTTAGAAATTTCAGAGGGCAACAGATATTTATGAATACCTGAGTATAGGAAAGAAGTTTGGTAAGGACAATTGCTGTTACTTTCCTAACATGGCATTCTTATTGTTCATAGCATTTTATCTCACACTTTAGTAATCAGAGCCCTTGAACTGTCTTTACTCAAGAAAGGAGGGGTTATCACTGCTTGATAAACAAATAGCTATGAGAACTGAGGAAAAACACTTAAAGGAGAAGTTTACTTACTTAAAATTACTTAATGATTATTTGCAGAGTAAAATTAATGTTCTAAAGAATGAAACACCAGCCTAATTAGTGGACAGATACTTTACGATAGCACATAGATGTTATGTTATCTTGAAGTTTCAATAAACATGCTTTATTATATTGCAAGGTGAGAGAAAAGTTAATCACTTCTGATTTATTCTTGGCAGTATGACACTGAGCAAACTCAGTACTGCAGATAGAGTCTACAAAGGGCAATCAATTTTTGTTTGTGTTACATTATTAGCACTCATTGTCTTATCAGCAGAGTTGATTCCATGAATCAATAGAAGAATTAATTATTATGAAAAAGAATTATTTGGTAAGTTTGAACATGTACTAGGAGACACTTATTTCTAGGTGATAAATTCATGCGAGGATTAAAAAAAGTCTTGTGGGGAATATTTTAATGAACGCAAAGTAACGTCTTTGATTCGATTTGCTTAGATTACCTCTTTAATAACTATGGTTTTGAACAACCTTGACATGATTGTTAACCTGGATTTCAGTTACCTTTAAGGAAAAGCCAGAGACTAGGCACTGATAACTTAATAAGCTTATCTCACATCAAACTGTACTAACTAGAAATTATGTAAATTGTTTAGTAATGTATGCTAACTTTGATTTTTCCAGAACTTAGAAACGGGAATGCTTGCAAATACTTAAGGAGACATATCAGTTTAGCAAGCCATAATTAGTGGTGTTTTATGAAGATCTGGAACTATTTAAATTACCCATGCATTGCTCTTTCCATGTTTTCATGCAGTGAGCAATGTAGTTCCCTTTTTCCACTTTGTGTGAAGATTGAGGCTAGAAAACACCCATAATTCTGTATTTTGCAGAAGTATGGAACACATTCATCAGCTTAGAACAGCCTCAAATTAAAACTTTTGTCCTCATTTTGGTCTTCATTGTGAGCAGTTTATAAACGTGTATTTAAATATAATATGTTTTAAAAAATTAAAACGTGAACTCCAGATGAAAGTCTAGTTAATGGAATAAAGAATGAGAGATTTCGTTTTATTACTTGTCTCATTACTGCTACTCTTTTAAGTCATTTAATTGCTCCTTGTGCCTTTCTACAAAAAGAGAACTATATTTATCAGATCTGTAAAAAGTTCTAGTCTAGTAATGTTAACTGGTCAAAGTTAGTCTAAATATTGCACTCATGATTATGCAATCTAAATGAGTGAGATGATATTAGTAATCGGCCGAGATCTAGCTGCACATGGAGGTCTGCCTGGCAGCATTGGCCCGAAGGCACTAATACTGTTGGACAGCTGTTGCAAGGATTTAACCTGGAGATTGTCATATTTTGTTTGGCCCCCCACGTTGCTGTTCTTTTTTTACTGAATCAACATTAAACACTTGGCAGATTTTACATAAAACTCCACATTCTGTCTTCTGCTGAGGTCTGGAAGCACGAGGATTTTATTCCTGCTTAGAAGCAGTCAGCTGGATAAGTGTTCATTACCATCTTTGGATAACACATAACTCCCCAGTTTGTCACAGTCCCCATTGCATCCAGCTATTTATGTCTGATGCTGTGCCTGTTGCTATTGAACAGGCAGCTTGCTTTGTTACTTTCCTTTTACCACATACCTCTCTAAAGAAGATAAATGAAAACTAACACAATAGTGCTGTGTGTTTCAAGAAAACTATAACATAGTGTTTTTGTTTCTGGAAGTAGAGATATCAACAGGAATTTAATATTGACAGGTATTTAATAACATTAGTAATAATGTTGTACGTGTTAAAATATTATACCCAATGGTTTTTCTCATATAACTTAACACTCAGATCCAATTAGTGAGTGAGTTTGAGTTCTGGCCTCAGCAGTTCCCAGCCTACCCTTAAGTTTGGCCTTAGGTACCCTACGAATGGAATCTTCTCCTCAGAGGCCCTTGTCAGGTTCTCTTTCCAGAACTGCTGACGCTGTTCAGCAGTCCTTTCTCCAGATCTCATTCTTGTTTTCTGCCTGCCCCTTTGGACTTAATGCTCTGAAACTTTTCCCTCCTGGCCAGAATTGAGGCCCCTGTTTCATACAGACCCTGCACCAAAATTGCAGGCCAGATACAATGAATGATATAATGCATTCATTCAGCTACTCTGGTGATTATCTACTAACCAGCTCTGTTATAAGTCTGATGGCAAAACAATAACAAAATAGACCCAGTTACAGTCAGCACAAGCTTGCAATAAAGATGCAAGCAACTGATATATAGTATACTGTTAGTTAAAATAGGGCTGTGAAGAAAAATGGCAGGCCAAGGAGACAAAGTAGAGATGGAGAAGGGGAGATACTTTTATATGTCATCACTTTCAAGAAGCAGCTTTTGAACTGAGAACTGGATGAGGTAACAGAAAACGACATGGGGTGTTCTGAAGAGGAGTATGCTGGGCAGGGAACAGCAGGTGCCGAGATCCTGGAGGGAAGGTATGCTTGAGGCTCAGGAGCAGCAAGACCTATAGTAGGCGGGGCAGGCTCAGGCCAGATCATGCAGAAGCTTGTAGGCTGTTCTAAGCTGTTGGTATTTTATTCTAAGGATAATGAATGGGATCTTTGATAGAGGGGAGTTACCAGATTTAATTTAACACATCCAGTCTAAGCTATCTTCTTTCTTTTTCTTTTCTTCTTCTCTCCTCCCCTTCTCCCTCCTCCTCCTCCTTTCCTCCTCCTCCTCCTTTTTTTCTTCTTCTTCCTTTTTTTATGGAGATGGGGTCTCACTTTGTTGCCCAGACTAGAGTGCAGTGTTGCCATCACAGTTCACAGCAACCTCAAATTCCTGGGCTCAAGTGATCCTTCTGCCTCAGTTTCCCAAGGAGTTGGGATCACAGGCATGCACAACCACACCTAGCTAATTTTTAACTTTTTTCCCAGAGATGGAATTTTGCTGTGTTGTCCAGGCTGGTCTTGAACTCCTGGCTTCAACATCCTCTCATTTCAGCCTCCCAAAGTGCTAGGATTACAGGCCTGAGCCACCTAAGCCCGTAAGTCCCAATTTCTAAGCTCTCTCTTTTGGGAGGGCAGATCAGATGAAATAAAACTTTTACATGTCAGAGTTTGACTGAATTTAATGATAATATGACTTACTTTAACAAGTAGCAGCATTAGATTGTGTCCACTAGTTTTTGTTTTCCTAACAATATGGTGTCTGGCACAAAATAAGAAATAGAAAAATGGTGAGTGAGAAGGGTGAAGAGTTGTCTCATATACAAGATGGCATCAGTTCTTCTCTGAAAACAGAATAACATACAAGGGCTTAGCCTAATTCAAAGTTAATACATACAGTATTAATCATCTACAGATAGTAAAACATAGTCATGCTATTTCTTTTCACCTCCATAGGTAGCAGATATGCTTAAAACAACTGGAGCTTCTAAGTGATTTCAAAAGTAGAGAGTTTTTGTTATTACTAGAACAAGGCAACTATTTTATTAAACTTGGTTCTTTAAAACTTTCTTTCTAGTGTCCAGGAGGAGCATTTACACCCAATATGCGAACCACCAAGGAGTTCCCAGATGATGTTGTCACTTTTATTCGGAACCATCCTCTCATGTACAATTCCATCTACCCAATCCACAAAAGGCCTTTGATTGTTCGTATTGGCACTGACTACAAGTATACAAAGATAGCTGTGGATCGAGTGAATGCTGCTGATGGGAGATACCACGTCCTGTTTCTCGGAACAGGTAAATATTTGAGCCCAACATGTGCTTTAATATGTAGTAAAAGTATGTATTAAATATAGGTAGTAGGTAAGGGCCATGATATTGAAACTAGAAAAACTCCAATAATTACTTCTGTCTAGCCCTTAGTGAGATATTTAATCTCTTTTTGCTTCAGTTTCCACATCTGTAAAATGAAGCTAATAAATAAATTACAGAGTTCTTGTGAGGAATATATATATATATATATATTTTTTAATGTGTGATACATATAATATATGTAGGTAGGGCTATATGATTTTCTTGGCAATTTGTCATTACAAGATATTTGTATGATTTCTCTGCTGCACTTTCCACCTGAACTGGAAATGAACCAGCTTTGTGAAAAACTTCTACTTGTCTCAATGGAAAAGAAAAAAAAAAAAGCAATGATTAAGTACTAGAATTGCATCCAGACATAACCGAAACTGGTTTATCCCTTATTTAATAAGCCACGTAGTTAAGTGTTCCTTTCAACAGAAACAGACTCTGTGACTTCTTAATCAGTACCTGAAGCCATTTTCTAAGGATAATGATAATGACAGATAGCATGTTCAATACAACATTTGGAAGTGAATGTGACTCAAATATAGACAGGTTTTTTGAAAATATTGATGGCAGTCTTAATACATCTACAAATTCCATCAATTTACTTTGACAGAAGTTGAATGAAAATGTGCTTGTTTATAGACCCACACGATAAGGAATAACTAGCATTGTATGTTACAGAGCAGTGGTTCTCAAAGTGTGGTCCCTGGACCAGCAATATCAGTGTCACTGAGAACTTGTTGGAAATACAAATTCTGAGGTGCTTCCTCCAAAATTCTAGGGATGAAACCCACTCATCTGTGCTTTCTCAAGCCCTCTAAGTAATTCTGATGCACACAAAAGTTAGGAACCACTCCTCACATCTTTCACACCCTGGCTGTTGGTCAGGCAGTAATTTAAAATCTATTTCAAACATCCCTAACTACCTTACAGGAACTGATGAAATCTCTTCACTTACAATAACACTCCTTACAATAACATCTTATTGTAATCTTAGAACTACTTTATGAAATTAGGTAGTTTATTAGGAAATAGACAACACGTCTGTAAAAGTCATTATAAAATATGGCAGTGGTGGAATATGTGTTCTGGATGAAGGGATAAATTGCACTCATACTTCAATCAGTTTAAGATGTGGATACTTTTTCTTGGCTAAATAAAATTTCCAAAGTGTGCTAAGATAAGGATTTTATTTTATCCTTTTTTTATTCTTAAAAACCCCATATCTGAATATTTCATTTTCATGTAATTTCAGCTTTACTGGACTGAGACTGAGAATCTTCTAAAATGTACTACTACATTGGTTATCCTTTTTGGCATCCTAGGTTGGCATCCTTTCCCACAGTTGGACATATCTGAGTTTTCACTAGTCCTCTCTTTGCTTGCCTGACAGCTGAGGAATAATCCTTCCTTCCCAGAATAACTGTTCCTCACTCTGCTCTCAATTTGTATCTCATCCTACCATCTCCAGGACTTTTGTTATCAATTATATTCTTACTCACTTGATTCTTCCATTTCATCCTCCACTGAATCCTCAACTTAGAAGCCTTGCCAGGTTATGAAACTAGATATCTGTCTTCACCCACTGCCACCTCTGCTGTTTTGCAGATTTTGCCAAGGTCTTGCATGGTCTCATGATAAGAAAAATACAGGCTTTTAACCACTGAAATACCTCTGTCTCCTATTTGCATCAGTTGGCGTTGGAGAATCTCACTTTACCTATTGCTCCAGTCATGTGTCAGAGGATTCTCCTCTCTTCCTAGTGGTTCCGTCTTAGCTGGCTTCCTCCTGCCCATGAATGTGGGTATTCCTTGAGGTTCTGTCTGTGGTCCCCACCATTTTTTTTTTTTTTTTTTTGAGATGAAGCCTTGCTCTGTCGCCCAGGCTGGAGTGCAGTGGCGCGATCTCGGCTCACTGCAACCTCTGCGTCCCAGGATCAAGATATTATCCTGCCTCAGCCTCCCAAGTTGCTGGGATTACAAGTGCATGCCACCATGCCCAGCTAATTTTTGTATTTTTAGTAGAACGGGGTTTCACCATGTTGGCCAGGATGGTCTTGACCTCTTGACCTCGTGATCCGCCCACCTTAGCCTCCCAAAGTGCTGGGATTACAGGCATGAACCACTGCACCTGGCCTTATAGTCCCCTTTTTTAAGATACTCCATGCCAATCTCATTCATTCACTTGGCTTCAATTATCCATTCTGTGCAAACAAATCCCAAATGTATATTGTTATTCCTTACCATTTCCTATGCTCAGTGTTTTCATGTACAGTTGACTGTTAGATAACACACATGGTATAACCCATTAACATTTCAAACATCATGCTTCAAACTCAATTTATCCTGTTTGAAAATTCTCCACCCAGCAGTTAATCCAATCTCCCATATTTGTATTCATTACTGAACGTTTCTCTCTAAGTTCTATCTCTCTTTGCTATATAATTTCTTTTCTAGGCACATCACAGTACCTGATAAGCTCAATAAATATTTGTCAAGATAAATTGAAAATTATAACTATGTCCATTGTTACTCATGTAATATGAATTCATAAATGTGACTGTAAAAGCCAATCTTCATTCGCATATAAGCTTTGTTCTCTACAGATACAGCCTTCATGTAAGTGACTACAAAGATTTGCTTTTAGCCTTAGCTCAATCATTCAACGTAGAGTTTGTGTTAGAAAAACAGTTTTCTTTTTCCTGAGGCTGTGTGGTAATTTGGAATATTACCTCTCCATAATGTCTCATATTACCCAGAAAAGATGACTGGTTTTTTTTCTTGTGAGGCCTGCCTTAAAGGTGGACTTAGATGCCACAACTAAGTTGTTGTTGTTGTTGTTGTTGTTTCATGAAAAGCTACATGAAATAATTGTATTTTCTACATAAAAGATGTAGATTTCATGGGTGGAATTTTAAGCCATTATGAACTGTTCAGCAGTGTTTATTCATAGAAGACAGTAAGAAGCATACTTTTGCACAAATTCTTTGGCTTTTCTTACCACATAAGTTTCTGGCACCATTTCATAGAATTTTTATTTTGGTATTTAAACACTTGTGTCATTTTCAAAAACAATATTTAGGCATATGTTTTTAATTGTAGTGGAAGCTGCACTGATGATTGCTTACAAAGCCACAGGAGTCTCTTGAGGATCCCATCCTAATAGGAAAGTGTGTGCTGTGGCAATGCCCCAGCATCTTACTGAAGACATGGTAGCGCCCTTAGCCACTGGACTTTACTGTTATTACAGGCTGCATTATAATTTTTAAACAATGATTTCAATTTATCTGAGCCTCTTAAAAACCAGTATATTGGTATAAAATATTTACTGCGGCCGGGCGCGGTGGCTCACGCCTGTAATCCCAGCACTTTGGGAGGCCGAGGCCGGCGGATCACCTGAGGTCGGGAGTTTGAGAGCAGCCTGACCAACGTGGAGAAACCCCGCCTCTACTAAAAATACAAAATTAGCCGGGTGTGGTGGCGCATGCCTGGAATCCCAGCTACTAGGGAGGCTGAGGCCGGAGAATCGCTTGAACCTGAGAGGTGGAGGTTGTGGTGAGCGAAGATCGTGCCATTGCACTCCAGCCTCGGCAACAAGAGCAAAACTCCATCTAAAACAACAACAACAACAACAACAAAAAACTACTGCTCAAGTAGTTCTTGGTTTGCTGGTGAAATTTCTCCCAAAGAGAGTTCTCTCTCCCTGTTTGTAACTAAAAGAGACAAAATAGCGTTTTTGGAGGAGAATCACAGGTCATTGTCCCAGGATTCCCCAGCATTATTTATCTAACTGTCTTGGGAAGGATATAACATTTCTAGGGTGTTTCCAGGTCCCCTAGTGTCAGACAACCCTTCAGCTGTTATAAACGAATAATGATGCTCCAGTTATTGGCACAGTGAAGCAAGTTTCTCTTTTGTCTTTTTTTCTGTATCATCAAGGAAAATTCAGGGGAATTCAATGAAGACATTATTTGTCAAAGAAGATGCCATAGGAGAAACTTATGTGACAGTTCATTGGAATGCAAATAGGATTCCATGTAATGATATTCACTTTGAATATTATGAATAATTTTGTAGCTTACAGAATCTCCATGGTAGATGTGTGAGCTCTGTGCCTGGTAACTGTTACAGTTAGCCCGGTACCATTATCATGTACAACTCTGACTGAATTTGAGATACTGACCTTCTACTTCCATCAAACTGCATCGGATTATTTTTTGTGTTGCCAGATATCAAGCAAAATTAATTAATTAATTAATTAATTTAGAAAGAAAAGAAAAAATGGAGGGAGGAAGGGAAAGAGGAAGGAAAGAAGGAAGGAAAAGTGAGCTTTGTCCTCTGACCTTTTATTTCTTACGGTTTTCATTATTGCTATCTAGTCTATGGGTTGGCAAACTGTTAATATAACCTGTGGCCCAAATCTAGCCCACTGTATGTTCTGTATGGTACATACACTAATAATGTTGTTTTGCATTTTTAAGTGGTTGAAAAAATAAAAAGCAGAATATCTCATGAGCAGTGAAGATTGTATGATTTTTAGATTTCAATGTCCATAGAGAAAGTTTTATTAAAATATAGGCATACCTATTCATTTACATTTCATCTGTGGCTGCTTTTGTACTACAGCAGCAGAGCTGATTAGTTGCTACAGAGACCCTGTAGCCAGCCAGGCCGGAAATATATATATATATTGGCCTTTTATAGAAAAAGTTTGCTTGTTACTGTTTTGGTTGATCATTGTAAATTTTTAAAAAATTAATACTTCTTCAAGAAGCTATTTTCTAATATGTAGATACAATAAAGTAATTCATAATGTTACCCAAAATTAATGTTTCTTCTTTTATCTTGAGTAAAGAAAAAATGCTGCTACTTTGTTAAAATGTAAACTGGAAACTATATTTATTTATTTTCCCACCCATTCCTGATACTACTGTCTAT